AACGGTATCTTCCTACAGAAGAAATATAAAAGTTGAATTAATCAATTTAATGACTTCCAGTCTTAGTAAATGAGTAATAATGGCATTCCTGGCCCCAGAAGAATTTAATGACCTAAAAGAGTAAAATAAGCTCAAAAGTTGAGTCAAGTCTGAATAATCAGGAATCACATAAGAGAGGTTTTTGATTTGGAGGTTAGGTAATCAATATTTACAGATTACCGACGGATTAACACTGACTACTAATGAGTATTTATTTGTTATAGCCACTTAAGGTAGTTAAGAAGTTAATGGGCTTCAGAATGGAAGGGAACTAACTCCATTTTGTCTGGTACTTTAAGAGTAAAAATGTGCTATGTTTTGAAATCTAACTATACAGACAATTAAAATATATTTACATTATAGGGTGGCATAGTACCATCTACAGATCGTTTTAATTCTCTAATCAGCTCTAAAGCTTTTTCGGCAAACATTTTTCACCAAATGCTAACACAACAATTCCCGCCGTTTCTTTGTTTACATTTTTAGTCTGCATTCTGATTGGATGAAAAATATTTAGGAAGATTTTCCAGACTTTCCAATCCAAATAAAAATTCATTGACAAATGTCTGGATAATGAAGCGTTGTAATTGACCAATCAGAAAATAGGTTGGGTCAAGTCTATATTTAGAATACTGTTTTCATTTTGTTGAGGAAGCACAATAATTTCTGATCACTAAACTTTTTTGACAGAAAACATGGAAAAACTGAGCACTTTAAAGCCTTTTGATGAGAAATCTAAAAAGAAGGACCAGTCACTAATTGCAGCCTACAGGTAATGAATTTTGTTATCGTTTGATAAAGAAACCTGGATGCAAAGTCCATCATGAAGTCCAATGAATGACATTGAGAGTTGGACTTTGGACCCTGGCTGATTACAACTACAACAATCAACATGACTATTTAAACTGTTGTGAATACACATCACATGTCACCATAACAATATCAATATGATTTTTCAAACTGTGAATTGTCTGTCATGTTTTAAGTTCTTTAGTTGGTGAGAAATGGATTCCTATTTTTTAGGTTTTAGTGTCTTTTCTCTGTCAATCTCCAGGTAGGATTACAGCCATATATTTGGGTAGCCTAATGTAATAGTAATATTGCATAATCAAATTATTGCATAACATTCACACATTAGGCAATATTAATATAGTGTCCTCAATTGCAAATTATTTTGCAATGGCCTAGGGGCTTTTATGGTTCATGGCTACTATACTAACAACAGCTCTTTCAATTACCACTATCCAGGGTTATTGAAGGCTTCATTATGAACAATTCTTTGATGTAAAATGTAAAGGATTATATCTTGTGAAGTCCTGACATTAGTCACATTAGACATGATCATTAATTAATTCTCTGGACATTGTCTGCAAAGATTCATCATTTAATCTCAACAAAAGTAGAAGCTTTATAGCAAAAATCCCCTTTAAACAAAGAAAAAACCCAAAGCTGTTAATTTCATATTCCTGACAATGAGCCATAAGACTAAAAAAGTAAATTCAGTTTATTAAGTACATTGCATGGGCATAGATCACATGCTCAGCATTGTCAGCTTTGTTTATACTATAAGTAAGTCAAGGTAGTGGTAAAAAGTCAATAACTAGTAGTTTTAGTAAACAGACTAAGATCTAGTTTCTAGTTAACATCTGGAGATCTAGTTTGCTACAAATTGATTTTCAAAACAGATATGTTTACATGCTCAATTAGATCCGCCATTTTGATCACTACAGAATGATCATTAATGTTGTTAGTTGCAGCAGACCTTGCATATATTTTGTGAGGTATTAGAGGGTAAGAGCTAACACTGGGCTGACTCTCGAAAGCACTGGCACAAGCATCAGAATTTTTCTTACCAAAGTAAAGTAATATTGAAATAGAATAATTTTTCCTTTAGATTCACTTGAAATATATTAATCCACAGAAGGTCAACTCTTTTAATCTTTCTACTAGATTAACCTATTGACCTCCAAATCACCTTAATCTCTTCATTGGCCATAATATATGATTTTTCAGGATTTTATTAGTTATTAGTACTAAATAATGATATATGTTACACCTATAAATAGTACTAATAGGTATATAAATATATACATATAGCCCCAGGCCATTATGACCACAATGGTAAGCTTAATCTGTATTCAAGTCCACTTAAAGGGATACTAAAGGGTATTTCTAGAGCATGCTTATAAGGAACACTTTTGACTTCTATTTGCATAATTCTGATTTTCAGTCTCATGTTGGTTTTTACCACAAGTTTAGAAATGCTGTTTATATCCACTTGTAGCAAATCTTCAAATATTTTTCTCTTTTTCATTCTTTGTTTCAAATTATTTTTGAGGTTTTATATTGGCCAGATTTGTGGAGCATGGAGCTATACATTTTTGTACACCTATCTAGCATCACCTGGCATTGACTGGCCAATAGAAATTAATCAACATCCCTGATTTTTAAAAAGCCTACTGTATTTATAAGCAGTTCTAATATTTTTTTTTCAGTGAGACACTAGCTACAGTATGGTACACAGTCAAAGTTTCGAGTTTAGTACTATTTCTACTATATATTGCTATACCTATATTTGTAAGAGCTAACCCATGGATTCTACCTAAAGTTGTCTTCTCTAATGTCAGTAAGTATAAGCATCAATTTTGCATAAATTACCCAGTAAAGTTGAATGTTATTTTAAAGGAAGTTGTTTAGACCAGTTATTTTGGGGACAGTATTAAAATCAAAGTCTTACTTAACTAGTAGAATTGTCATTTTTAAAATGTACAGGGTATACAAAATGGTCAGAACTCTGGAGCATATTTCTGATTTAGTTTTTCATTCCCTCACAAAAATATATTTTATTTTCATATTCAAATCATACATGCCTCACCAGTTTTGGGAGCTTCAGCCATATTAAGAAATAACAACACTGGCTGGATCTCATGACCATCAAGGGACGTACCGGTTTAGGTCAAAATCCTTGACTAATACAAGTTTATGGTCAGCCATTAAATGTGCATTGTTGTCTGCAGCCATTTTGTTCATGTACATCTGTGATAAATGTTACATCCACAAAGGGGTTTACAGACATGTCCATCACATTATGTGACATAATCCCTGTCATAAATTGGTTGTACATTTACCATCAAATGTTGTAGCTTAATAATTAAATAGTTAAGTCACCTAAATATTTTCTGACCTGTTGCTTGAGCTTAAAGATGGGATTCCTTCCAAACTATCTGACAAATTGGTGTTTTTAATGAATTATCATGTAGTCTTAATCATATCCTATTCTTATTGCATATAATTAAGAGTTTCAACCAATCTTAGATGCTCATGAATGTAGAGTCTGGATAAACAAAAAAAGACTACTCAAAGGCCACTCATTGAAATTCTACTGGTTATTCCCTTCTAATTTAGCTAATTATGAATTAATTATGGACAAACTGGTATATTTCCAAGTCATTAGAACACCTCTACTTTCTATTCATACAAGTATAAGCATTTTCATAAATGAAAATAAGGGAAACCATCTTTAATTTTAGCTATTTTGAGTACATTTGAGAATTGAAAATTAGGCTGTGGTCACTCTCGTTCCAACATTTTTGTGTGATGATGATACTAATGAGCTATTTCAGCAAATATTTATATGACTATATTCCTTAAATATTCAATTGTTATACATTTTTCAGTTCGGTGGCCACCATTTATAGATTTCAAACAACCATCAGATTTCGGATTAAATGTAACTCGTAATTTTTACCTCACAACAGATGATGGTGTACAGATTGGAGTTTGGTATGTCTGCAATTTATTCCAAAACTCTACAATTTTAGTTATGCCTCCATCAATGCACATTGCTATGTGTCAATATCTACCATGCATGTTCAAGCATTTATTATCAGGAGTTTTTGATGGTCAATATTTGCCAGTCATGTCAGATTGATGATTTTGCCACCCAATAAATACTTACTTCTGTGTTAAGAGTGAAGAAGTTCCTAAAAACTTCTATGTAAAGCACTGGCCAAGGTCACAAATAAAGAGATAAATGTTCAATACAAGATAAGGTGAAGTTAGCATAGTTAGTATTAAGTTAAAGAAACAACCACGAGTAATCTACAATAAACAAAAGTCTATAATATGAAAGTTTTCTTGTTACCAGTTCTAAAAGAAAAGAGTATTTATAGGTTCTGAAAAGTTAAACATCTATATATAAGGATTAGAATATATTATACTTAATGAGCTAGAAAATAGAGAGGGGGGTCAAGTATTATTGGATTCAATGGGAGTCTACCACGGACCAGAAAATTACTAAGGTTTTTATTGCGCTTATAGGCAATTACAAGTCGTTTGGTATATACATTCGGAAATCTGTTCTGTAATTCACTGTAATACTGTTTGACGATGGATGAGGTTTTGGCAGCTGTATGATTAAAGGTGGCAACAAATGGAATCATTTGATAATCATGCTGGATGTTAAGTACATTTGGAGCCACTGTTTGGAGTTGGTCCATCCAGTAGCTTTCTCTCTGTAATCGTTTGGTTTTTGGTTTGATAAGATCAGAGTCAGGAATTGATTCAATAGGCATGATAAGTAGGTCTTCAATGGAATGGTCAGGTAAATTAAAATGATGAGAAATTGGTCTATTTTTGCTATGAATTATATCAAAGCGATGGCCGCTAAATCGAGTGCGCAACGCGTTCTGGGTTTCACCGACGTATTGTTTGTCACATTTTTTACACGAAATTAGGTAAATGATATTTTTATCCGTACACGTGAGACTTTCTTTAATTTCAAATATTTTTCCGTTTTTTTTATTTTGAAAATAATGAGACATATGGATATGTTCACAGGTGCGACACCGAGAACCTCTACATGGTATTGCGCCAAAGTTATTTATTGGAGGAGGGGGTTCATTAATTTTCAAAAGGTCCAAAACAGTGTCATTTTTAATTTTGCTCAAGAATCGTTTGGAATAGCCCCTCTCTCTTAATTTACTGAAAACTAGTCTACAAGCTGCATCAAAATCTACTTTTTGAGTGCAAATTCTAAAAAAACGCAAAATTTGTGATTTGATTATTCCCGTAAAAGTATGTTTTGGGTGAAAAGAGTTTTTATATAAAAGTTGGTGAGTATCCGTTGGTTTAAAAAATACTTTGATGTCTAATTTGTTTGTTTGAGAGAAACTTGGTCCTTTGAATACCGTAGTATCCAAAAAATCCATACTTTGTTCAGAAATATTCGCAGTTAGTTTTACAGATGTGTGGTGATTATTTAAAATTTCAAAATATTGCCAAAAATTTGTTAAAGACTCGGTCCAAATAATAAAAATATCGTCAAGAAACCTTCCATAGAAGAAAGGTTCAAAAGGGGAAATGGAAGAAATTTCCAGTTCCCACTCAGCCATAAAGATATTTGCATAACTCGGCGCAAATCTTTTGCCCATCGCGGTGCCTGAAGTCTGGAGATAAATTTTTTCATTAAAGGCAAAGTCATTTCGCGTTAGACATAATTCCAAAAGTTCTAATATTTCTTTGTCGGGTCTATCTACGCCGGGATTTCGAAGACAGTGGTTTTTTGTGTAAAACTAGCAAGATAATTTACCAATCATGTTTAACTTAAATATATCAATGACAGAGTTTTATATAGACACCATTGAATTATGATTAACAGTAGTCCAAAAATATTGCAAAAGAACTTCCCACTGAGGCCATGAAAGTTATGATAATTTATATTCTATGAAAAACTGTTATTTCAGGCATACTTTACCAGAAAGTGTAGCAGAAGTGTACCCTGATACAGGTGTACCAGATGATAAATTTGAACATCATTTATCTGATGGTAAAAAAATAATAGTTTATTTACATGGTAATAGTGGTACAAGGTAAGTTGAATTGTTATTTGAAAGACATTATAATAGGCTGATGCAATAGTTCAGGCAAAATTTCCCTGCAAATTTCCCTGCATGGCCCATCATCACTAAAGGGGTAAAAGTAGGGTGAAAATTCCATTTCATAGGGTATTGAGACAGACAATAATTGGTTGTAATGTAATTGGTGATTAAAATATGAACAAAATATTTTGTGTATGACATATTTTTGGTTTCTGCATGGAATCAGTCTATATGATGTCTTATTTGAATATGATCACATCAACAATTGGTATTAAGTCAATAGAAAAAGTGGTCATGTATCATTTTCATTTGTATACGAATTTGAATATTTTTATTTGATTTTTTTCAGAGGTGGTTGGCATCGTGTTCAGTTATATAAATTATTTTCCAGTTTAGATTTTCATGTTGTTGCTATAGATTACAGAGGTGAATTAATTTATTTTTAAAAACCCAACAAAACAGTAACCATAGGGCAATGAATGATGATTTATCAAAAAATTATTTCTGCTATTCTTTGCAATAACCTCTCAATGCAGTATGATTAAGGTGAATGATTCAGGCACTGCAATATATTTATGACATTCTTACGAGATACTTTGGAAACATCTAATTAAAGTTCTGTCTGATCTGTTCCTAGGATTTGGTGATTCTGGTGGAAATCCAACAGAAGATGGTGTTGTCTCTGATGCCTATCATATTTATCATTGGGTCAAACAAAGAAGTGGTGATTCACCAGTTTTTCTCTGGGGTCATTCCTTAGGCACTGCGTAAGTAGTCAACTTCAACTTATATCAGACATTTTTAGTGGCCTGTGAATTGACACTACAAATTACAAACAGGCCAGTTTCACTTGTTGAATATATTGATAATGAATTAAGTGTGGAATCTTGCAAAAAAATGTTTTCTCTCCAGGATCACTACCAAACTAGCCAGAAAACTTTGTGATGAAGATGAACATCCACTAGGTGTTGTTTTAGAAGCTCCATTTAATAATATCAATGAAGCTGCTGCTAATCATCCTTTCGCTTTTGTAAGTTTAATATGTCTTCTATATTTATGATTAATAAGCCATTTCTATTCTATAGCCACATTATGACACATTTTATTGCCACCAAATGAGAGAATTTGTACAAGTAACAATTTCATTGAGCCATCAAATGATTTATTCAGTCTCTACATAGCAATACATTCCATCAAATAGCCATCTTACGACAATTTCTATATCCCTCAAATGACAATATTTGTAGCCATCAAATGAAAATTTCTGTAGCCATCAAATGACAATTTCTGTAGCCATCAAATGACAATTTCTATAGCCATCAATTGACAATTTCTGTGGCCATCAATTGACAATTTCTATAGCCATCAATTGACAATTTCTATAGCCATCAAATGACAATTTCTATAGCCATCAAATGACAATTTCTATAGCCATCAAATGACAATTTCTATAGCCTTCAAATGACAATATCCATAGCCATCATATGACAATTTTCACAGCCAATTTATTGTGAAATGTATTATTTTTATTTCAGCCATATAAAATGCTTCCCTGGTTTAGTGATATATTTATTAACAGTATTGGTGAACATGGTATTTTCTTTTCTACAGATAAAAGGTAAGAAATACTTTAGAAAAAAGGTCATGATGTGAAGATGTTTTACCTGAAGTTTAAAAATATTTGGGGGCATCCATTTAATGGAATTTTGTTATAATATAAAGCATGTAATACCACAGCATGTCTCATACAAATAGAAATGGCATAGATAAGTGAATAGCCAGTTAGATTGTCGTTTGCTAAACAGTCACGTGTTATTTGAATCGTATATGAATCCTGATGTCAGAGTCATTGTTTTTGAGAGTCCACACAGTTTCAGGCTTACAGTACCTAATACTATTTAGAAATGGAGGGTTCGTGTATTTTGATTGTTTGATCAAACATGATTATGTTGTATTTCAGTGTAGAACATGTGACCTCTCCTATTATGATTTTACATGCAGAGGATGATGCTGTTGTACCCTATCATCTAGGAATGAAGGTAAGAATTTCACTATTATCACTCTTCTCATTTTCCTGTGTTGTGCCAGGAAGGATATGCTTACTCTTCTGGGCACCTGATACCACTTTTCATTATGAAATACTTACTCACTTATGATTGATATACTTCCTCATGAGAAAAGTTCACTAGCTGCTACCAATATTTTGTCAATATAATGTTGCAGATTTCAGAGTGTTAGTAATTAGTTTATTTATTTCAACAACAAAGTTCAAACTTTGGGAGACATTGTGCGCCATGTCATAATTCTTACATCTTCAACACAAATGATGTTGTGTCATGCTACAGCCATATTAACTTGTTCAAAGGTTGTTATTTGCCAAGATGCTTCCTATTATTAATTCCAGTTATTTGAAGCTGCTAAAGAAATTCGACCAGATACTCATGGTGATGTAGAATTTGTAACCTTCCCTGGTCACCATGGTTACGGACATAAACATATCTTTAAAGCTCCTGAATTACCAGAGGTCATCAGGTAAAAATACTTAAATTTCTGATCAGAGCACAATTTCAGCTACCTAGTACTCTTTTGATGTAGGGTTTGTCTACAATTAAATAAGATGTTGCATAAGTGATGACATTTTAAGTTTTCAGGCAGTTATGTCGAACAGGTTCGTTATTTAAGGAGTGTGAGTCTTGAATATATGTAAATAGTCCTCAGAAGTACTAGAAAATGAACGAAAATCACATTTCTTTTAAAAAAAATACCTCCACTAGGAATTTCACTGTCTATTTTTATATATGTCTTTTCTATATATATCTCAGTTTCAAGGAAAGACAAGTCGTCATTTTAACATTCAAACACAGATAATTCTGGACACACATGGATTTGATGGCTCAAATTTTGGCAGTGAGCTGTAAACACTAATACTGATTAGCCTAGATAAAAAAAAATGATTATTCAAACAGATGGCAAACCTGTCCCTTATTTTTAGATGAATAATCTTATTTCTTTTTCCAGAGGTTTTATGGAGAGAAGTATTATAAAAAGAAATGAAAAACTGAAAAAGACATAAAAGGATTCTCACAAATGTTTTTAAGATATTTTACTGGGTAAAAAACAAAATTTTTATATCAAGCTTGAATTTTTTTAGATTTTTGTTTTATACAATAGAGGTACCATTGGCTAAAAAAGTTAACTATGTGAAGTCTCAATTATTGAATCGGAGTTGAAAGGCACAAGTGTAGAGCATCATTAGGTGTATCTTAAATGTACAGATGTCCTCCGTTGTAAACATATGTAGACTGCTAGTTCCATAGTCTATTTGAATTCTTAGTTTACCTATGGCAAGACTTGACTTATTTAGCAGAGTTAGCAATTTCTCTTGACTTGTTTTGGGACCTTGGAATCAGTAGCCTTAAGGTATCGTGTATGTTCAAGCAGAGAATTTTGTTTTTCAATTTTTAATTTGAAATATGTCGCATAAGCCGTTAATGAAATGATCTCAGGGTGGAAATCATTCCAATGTTTTGTGTTTTTATTTGTGTTGATTTTTTGTGTTAATGAATTAATTTAAAAAATGCAAATTTGTCCCATTATCAAATTTGTATGATTATGTTTTACTCTTATGTCCTAAGAGCATTTTCAATTTTTTTTATCAGTTCCACATGTCTTTCAATATATTCTTCATTACTCATTGACATGTATAGACATGTTGTAAATATTTTTGAAAAATTTAGTGAAATGTCTTCACTTTTTGCTGTATATTTCTGCTGTATATTTCTGCTGGTATTTCATTTATAGATCATCTTGAACAAAAATTCTATATTTTGCAAGGTTTTTTTTATTGTGAATCTTTAGTATTAAAGTATCAAAAAGCATCACCATTAATCAGATGAAAAAAACTTGCTTGATCTTCTGTTCTTCGTTAAGATTGAAAAGGGCAATAACTCTATTCAAACAGGAAGTTACCATGACTACAATACTTTTTGTTTGGTGCATTACAGAAGCAAATTATAACAACTAAAAATGAAGCAGTAATGTGTTAGAAACCTACTAAACCTGACCTGGTTTTTTTCTCTAGATTTCATGATGGTTATCTTTAGCTCAAGACTGTCAATTTGAAATATTCTGGCTTGACAATAAGGGCATATTTTCACGGATAATTTTCAATAAAATATGTCATAAACATCACTGATATTTTGGTGCTTGTAGCCTTGCTAGAACTGATAAGTAAGCTCTATCATGTTTGTTTAGAATAGATCTGAATTTGTTGTTGTTGTGTTCTTAGTATTGTTTTGTTATAGTTTTTTTTTTTTTGCTTTTCCACTGTTAAAATTGATGCAAATTATATTTTGATTAACTTGTTTAAGGATTTTGTTTCTATTGCCGCTGAATATATTACTGACAATTTTAAGTAAGTTAACAATCTGTTCTTTTAAACTCGGCGAATTACAAAAAAAAAAATTTCACTAAGCTACATTAAGGGTTTCTCAAATATATTTCTTGAGAAAGGCTTTTTGTTAAAGGGATTGTAATGAGGTTTTCACAAAAGAAATAAAGCATTTGATGACAACATTAATATGGAAATTTGCTTCATCACATAATGCATCACGTTAGTGACGTCATCAAACACTTACATTTAGTGGAATTGCAGGAACCACAGACATCTGATTAAAATTAGAATGGACCAAATTGATGCTATCAGTGTCCCTGATACACATAAAAAATAGAAAACCTCTTTACAATGCCTTTAGAAAAATAACTACAAAATGTTAGAGGTATACAAAATTGAAGTTTCAAACAATAGGGTATTGTAGAATTAAACCATTGATGTCAAATTAATGTATACAAATGATATAATAATATTTTTATGGACATATTTTCTATGATTTCTATTGTTTTACTTCTAAATAAAAATAGCTTTTATGAGAGCTTCATGACAAAGTTGTCATTGAAATTATATTTCTGGCCTAAATATATTTCTTTAAAGATATTTTAAATCCAGAATTGAAATTAAAGATATTTTATGTAAATTGTATTCATTTTAGAATTTTAGAACTATTTTTAAGAAATGAGTGTTTCTTATTTTGCTTGCCCTTCCAATGCAAATTGTAAAATGTGTTACTAAAAATAAATATGTAATTAAAGAATCTTCTGTTTTCTATAATAAATTTAAATGAAAAGCCTCTCATGATCAGTGAACTTTCATTATTATTATCCATTATTATTATCCATTTTATTAATCAAATCAAGTGTAATGGAGCATAACTGGATATCCAATGATTTTTTTGGACTTAGGAGAAAAACCATGCAATATGCTTAATCTAAGATTTTTGCTGCAGAATTCATTTCAGTTTATTAACAAATGTCAACCAGCTATAGTTGTGAATGTTTTATATAGGAAAGATTTGCTCTTGGAGAAGTGATCACTATTCTAGTGGAATGAGTCAAATTTGAGAAAAAATATTCTGGCAGTGGATATTTACCACGCCAGTGAAATCGATTATTATCACGTCTGGAAGTAATAACTCTAGCTAAGGCCCATCTGTCAAAGGTAACTATCAGAGATTTTTAGCTCAGAAAGTAGCTCATCTGTTAGCCAAACTATTCCAAATTTCCATAATAAGAGTGCATTAAAATTCCTGTAGAATAAAATCGTAATTACACTTTATGTTCAAAGATTTGTTCAAATGCACCTATTTCTTCAGACGAAAGATTACCCTCCCCTCCCACTTAATTTTCCTTTGGTTTTCACTTTGGTTTACGGTTCACGTCAAGACAATAAAGCATTCATTGCAGTGCGTCATAAATCTACTGTTTAACTAGGTCTTCATGACAGTATCAGTATCATCTTTCTATGGCAGTTTGTAAACATTCTTATTCAAGTAAACAATCTATTGACAAGTCTTTCATAGTATACAAATTATATTTTAACAAACAAAAAGAAAAGTGAAAAACAATACCGTACATGGTATAATAACAAAAACATGTCAAAAACACACAAAAAAAAACATGAAATTACGTAATATTCAGATATTCGGAGTCCTCTTTCAGCTCTAAATGCTCCTAATATCCAGCTGATAGAATTTGATTTCAGTTACCCGTATCAGTTTTTATAATGAAAATCCTACTTCCAGTTTGTCTACAATAATCCGCTAAAAAGTGTTTTGACTTACAGAATACAGTAACGCTAGAATAGGGTTTGGACTATCGACGAGTAACTGACACATTCTACCAGACAAGCGATATTATTAGTGTAGTTACACTGTAAAATTAAATCTGTATAAATACAGGTTGTTTTAACGGCAACATACAGGATATTATTCACACTGTAAAAATCAAAAATTCTTTGGCACTAAATAGATTCTTGTAGAAAAAACAATAAATAACTTTCGATCGACTTCAATATCTTTCCGGTTATATTCATTTTCAATAAAATCAGCTCTCGAAGTCATTCACAAACTATTCGTCATTTCCGGTTTATATATAATTTTCGAATCTCAGGTCTTGCGAGCCTACAAAATATAAGCGTAGATATGTTCTCTTACATAATTATTTTGAACCCACCAAATGTCAAGATCAAAAATGTTTGACTATGGAAATAGCAAATCTGATTCGCTATTTGGAATCCAACAGACTGCTACAACGTTGGTCTATCATTCTAGACGAGCCACGGAATCAAATTTTGTTTGCCCAATATATTGATAATTTCGATTATGTTAATATCTAAAAACCTAATTCAGATCGTTAACCTTGTATATCACATTCAAAATAATTTGGATTTTGACTTCAAATCACGGATGAGTTCATTGGTTTCACGTCTTGCCAGAGATCTGCTTCCGGTTTCAATGGGAAGTTCACAGTTACAACATTTGGTGGTTGATGCCGAAGGCTTCTCAAATCCATTCTATTCAAATCAAAATTCATCATGACTTTTTGCTTCTCACTCTGTCTTCGACGACGAAATACCAAAACGACAGCTACTAGAATGGCAACACAAAAGAATGCCAAAACTGCGCCTATGATTACTACTCCGGATTGTTCAGATGAGGAACCCGGATGATAAGATCTGCCAACGGTGTCTTTGTTTTCGACATGAAGGTATTCAGATGGGGTATTGCGCAGTGTTGTGCTTGTACTTGTATTCGGTCTAATTGTACTGTTTTTTGACGTAGTGCTTTCTATGATTTTGTCAATCAATTCGGTAGTTAATTCTAAGGATTGTTCGGTAGTTGTTTCAATTGTTTGTGAAAAACGATCAACTGTCAAATGTGTGTCATATTGTCCTTGGGGAATTTCAGCTGTTATTTTATTGACTTGACTAACGTCATTCAAGGCGGGACTGGTAGACACTAAAATCACGTCTTTGTCTGTTGTGACGTCTGTGCCATTTTTTGACCCATTTTCAATACCACTATCACCTTGCACGTATACAGCAGACGTAGTTTCTGGTAGATTCGGGTGCAGTGTCGCAGACGTTGGGGTCTGATTCTCTGTGGTTGTTGCCGGACTCTCAGTAGTAGTAGTGTCTGTTGTATTTGCATCTGTTAACGTGTCATTCTGTCCTAATAGGAATTCTATGACTGCGATGCGAGTTGTTGATGGTGGTGTTTTTGTTGTCATTCCATTGCTTTGACAGAATAGTAAAGCCTACAATGACAAGGCGAGAATAGTTTTAAGAATACTTGACATAGTATCTGTGATTGAAATCTACATTCAGAAGCAATTAAAGTAGTTAGTAGTGTCAGTAATCAGGCCCATAGTTCCAGAAAGGGGGTGGGGGGCACATTTTGATGTACACTTTGATCTGTACTTCCCGCTCTCCCGCAATCCGCGACCCCACCCCCGCCGACCCCAATCAAGTCTGCTTATGACGGGCATGGTTCAAATGAGAAATCCTCCATAGCCTAACCACTGACAATATGAAATGAATCAAACCGTTCAGTCAAAAGTATACTTGGTTATACGTGACTGACTCGTGAAATAAAAGTTTAATTAGTCAATAATTCACCTCAAGTTAAATTAACCACATTAATGCCCCGGGTTTAACCCATCTGGTAAAAGCTATATTAAGTTTAAAATACCAGAAGTAGCTTTATATTTAATTGCTTATTCATTTTTTCAAGAAAAAGAATGACAATAAAACCACTTGCTATCTTACCCAGAAAAAAAAAAACACGCACATGTCATATCTATTATATGAAAAACTAGGTTTTGAATTTCGGGAAAAAAGATTGCGAAAACCTTAAATTGAGTGGCTTTTCCCAGGTAGTTTAATCTAACTTCCCAGTAAAAAAAGAAGTCGCAACAAAAAGTAACGTGTCTGCAATACGATACTTAACATATTCATCGACAGATACATTAGAATCATAAAGAGATAAATGGTCGCCTTGCGTCAACTTTTTTTTTATACTTGATACATATACTGATAATCAAATTTTGGCTTATGATTATATCCAATGATTTGGGCTGAAAGAGAACAGCGAAGGTGTCAGTTTGGTGTACTGGGGGGACATTTGCTCTCCCAGAAAAATAGATTGTAGCTGATTGTACCCCCACTTCATTAACAAGAAATTTCAATACATGTATAAGATTATTTTTGCCAAAGAATGTTCAGAATGGACCAGTTCATTTCTACTTTTCGAAGATTTTCTTTAATAATGCCTCGCATATTTTGCGATTAGTGACGTCATAAAACGCTTATATTTTGAGCCACAGACGTCTGATTGAAATTGGAATGGTGTAAATTGATGCTCTGGGTGTCCCAGATACTCATACAAAATTTATAAAACCTCTTAACAATCCCTTTAATAAGTAATACTTTCAAATCTGTTGCAGAATATCTGGAATCTTATCCCTTTTTGGGATGATAGATTAGAATCCAATGAAAGAACATACAGCTTGATTATTTACTTAATACAACTTACGGGAAATATATCAACAATAAAAACTATTTTGAATACAAAGAATTATTCATATCACTGTATATTTCAATTTGAAAAACGGCAGAGTATAGTATTAAATATAAGGATTTGAATGATATATTTATACCAGAAATTATTATACTGTAAGTTTTGGTAGGGATAGGATTAGCTAGCATTACAGATCAAACTCATTTTTACAAGGGACTTAGTCCTCTAAAAATTGTCTTTTCTATCTTGGAGAGATTAGTGACTGACAATATCACTTTGTAGAGTTTAGGAGGAATAATACACCGGAACCGGAAGTGACGACAGAGACGTTTAAAACATTGTCCAATGCTTCTATTTTATTTAGCCCACATGGTGCAGAAAAGTAGGGCGTAAAACTCCATTCATTTCATTTCATTTCTATATTATGTTATTGGCTGACTATAATAACAGTTTAGACGGATATGACTGTAGGATTGACCTTAAAAATGCCAAAAAAATGATTGTCCTCGAGAATTTGAATATAAAAGAAAAGAGAAGTAGAGCAGGGTTCAAGGAGATCAGAGATAGCTAGCCAGGGTAAGGTCATATACGGACACAGTCAACATTGTTAAAGGAACAGGTTCGGCATCCGTTTGACAAATCAACGGGATGTTTTTAGCTAAGCTAATCAGTAATAGTGTCGAAATCAAATAAATATCCAAAATGTTGGAGAATGGCGCGCTAACCGCTGGAGTTTGTGGGTGCAAACACCTTTTGTATCACTTTTGTACCCCACTGACGCCACCACTTAAAACAACAGCGACCAACTTCTCACCGATGATCCTTGCTCCACACTAATTATACGATTTGACTGTTAAAAATTCTTTTTAATTTCAATCACAACGCATATAGTGTCTGTGCATTTCATTAATTCACTTCAAGTACACATATCAGTGTATGTATATTATCACTAGTATGTTCTCTTAAAATGGCAGAACAATCGAATGGGAAGAATTTTGAGGAATGTGTTCCTTTGAATACAAAATCTGAAGATGCTGAAGCGGCTGATGAGAACAGACAGGATAAAGTGGAGTTCGATATTGAAGAACCTGTTAAATTATATTTTAAAATTTCAGACAGACCACCAGTCCAAGTGAATATTCTTTTATCTATACAGGTAAATCTTTCTGAGATTATCAGCCAAAAATTGGCCGGGTTCAGCTCCCATACAAAATGACATTTAGATATTAGCTGTCCGTACCCGTGACTATATCATATATATCAATCATGTTTAAGAAACCGAGTAGCTGCATCCAGTGACGTAGCGAAGATTTCATGCGGTATGTAACTCAAAACCTTTCAATACAAAACATTTTTTTTTCTTCAGCAAGCATTATTACCAGTTTCAAATTCTCTTTCCATTTCCTTACTGGTGTCTGAATTGGTCTGTGCCAGAGATGATCCAGAGATTCAAGCTCAGCTTCTTGGAACCACCTTCATGATGTCTGGAATTGCAACTCTTTTAATGTGTACTGTTGGTTGTCGGTGAGTGGTCATTTGAAAACAATTTCAGAAAAAATCTCAGCAAAACGGCATCAAACTAGAGACGACACTTTAGTTTATTTGTTGAAATCGCAATCAATTAATCCAATACATTTCCAAAAATGACTAGTTTGGTTGTCGACCCAGAAGAACAAGATTTGTTTGTGGTTGTCATGCACCATCGTTGGCATATTTTAGTAACAAAAGGTTTCCTCTGTTTGTTTTTAAGAAATACATATATTTTCGATATCAGTCTAACTGTTATCACTTCTGATTGAACGTTCACTTAATTGCCCACTTCGTATTTCCATTCAAAATTAAAAGTGGTCCGGATTGCTGAATTTCAGAATAGTAAGAAGATCATTTTTATCAATTTGTTTCAGGTTGCCCATTTTTCAAGGACCAAGTTCTTCGTACATTATTCCATTACTTGGCTTGACGAATCTGGCTGAGTGGTCTTGTCCAAATCAAGAATATTTGAGTAAGTTAAACTTGATTCAGATCAACAGAGCAAATGCCAATTTTTGTTTTGTTAATGGAATCTTGAAAGCCTTCAATTTCATCAATGTTAATAAAATGCACATCATCCCGAACCACTGATCAATTTTACAGTTAATTTTGAACAAACAAAATAGGCCTACATTAACTATGAAATAATTAAACATTGTGGACTTACAAATACAAATATCATATCATCAAAGGCGTATATTGTCTTAAAGCTATCATGCTTTAATAAAAATGATATCAATAATTTGTTAAGAATTCTGTGGTCTATCATTGAGACAGAAGAAACCCAGAGTAGCGATTCTCAAAATTATTGACTATATATGTCATATATCATGCTTTAATAAAAGCAACATTATTTTTTTTTCATAAAAAAATTCTGTAGTCCATTATAGAGGTAAACTATATATGTACCAAATGCTGTATATTCCAGGTTCTTATTATGCCAATTCTTCTGTGTTAAATGTAACAGATTATGGTGGTAGACTTCCAGTACCTAGAGAAATCATCTATAATCAGTTATCAAAGGTAAATTTTACTTCAACCTCTCGACACTGCATATGAAGACCGCTCCTCTTGCTTGTCGTTGATGAGCTGTACTACAATACATATTGTAGCACATAAAGCTCAACTGGACCACCCCGAATCGGTCTAGTCAGCCAGATCATGTAAAGCAAGGTTCGTGTATAACATCAACAGTTTTTTTTAGTTGCAAGGTAGTTTAATGGTGGCTGGTACCATACATCTATTAATAGGATTCACTGGATTAGTTGGTATGGTAGCTCGATATGTTGGTCCAATTACAATCGTTCCGGCACTTCTACTAGCTGTTTATTATATTCATCGAATAACCGTTAAGTTTGCAGAAACTCATTGGGGAACGTCCATTGCGTAAGTAGAGCTTGGAGTTCTTTATACAACATAGGATTGAAGTAGCACGGAGCGGTTTCATGAAAGCAGACGTGATCCCAAAATGAAATGAATTTTTTACTACTTTTCTGCACCATGTGGGCTAATTAAGACGGGCAACGCCATGCAGGGTGCAATGAGGGAAATTTTGCCAGGACAGCGGCATTAGCCTGCTCTTTTTCGATTTCCAACTGTCGATGGATCTTTAACGTGTACAGCCTGTAGCACACGGGAGCTCGGTTTACTGTCCCATCCGAACGACTAGACGCTTTTTCCATGTCAGCCCCTCTTACCTTCACCACTGACAGGGGTAAACCGGGTTGAAAAATCCGAAGGTATTATCTCGACCTATGCCGTGATTGAACCCTGGACCCTCAGGTTAGCGAGCAAGCGTCTAACTCACTGAGCCACTGCGGCTCCCAGACGTGATCCCAAGCAGTGGCATAAAATGATACGATTTAAGACAAACACCCTTCAACAATCAAAGGGAAGGTTTGATAAAAGATTGGTATACCAAATGAACAATATTGACTATGTGAACTCTCTAAAGTTGACACACCCAGACGCTTATGAACACTTTGGTAAATCTGTAGAGTGAACTATGACATTTACTCTTTCAGAACAACACTTTGTGGAATTATCTTGTCATTATATCTAAGAAACTATAAAACACCCATTCCATTCTGGACAAAGAAAAGGGGATTTCATATCATATGGTATCCACTGCACCAAGTATTTTCAGTGAGTAACTACATCAAATTGTCAAGGATCTTCGTCTATCAAGATATTCCTACCCAGCTCCAAAGTTCACGGATATGTCCTGCTCGTTCTACTGCAATACCATATATCGCCACAGCAAAAAAGTTCCTGTCTTCTCATATTAGGAAATTAGTCAAGGGCGATAATTCAAAATAGCTTTTGGGAATTTTTAACCATTTCGAACTGGTCTGATATATCATTCTCGCATTTACATTTACCGAATTTACTCATATGATTTCGGCTAGTGGTGGGCTTCCATATTGAAAAGTGCAATCTCTGTCCAGAGTGTCGTGATTGGTTCGTTCGTGGAATACGGTTTCGTTTATGACGTTACACAACCGTAGCGTCATTTCTAAGTATTTCGAAGAAGTATTTAGACGTGTAGCTAGTTGCGTACAACTTTTACAAGATTTTCAACTTAAACCACTCGAAAGTGTTTCAGCACCGTTTAACTGGTAAGTTAATTTGATCCTTGAACTGGGGGTTTTGTTGTATTGTTACGACAAACGTCCAAAGCATCGCTCAAATAATACTTTTACACGCATATACCAATACTTTATTAACTATTGAGCTGATATTTGTTTAAGTGAAAAGTAGGCTATATATTTGGCTTGTTTTCACAAGTGGTACCATTTTCTGACTCATGAAACTATTAAAGCAACGATGTTTTCATATGAAATTTATCAGTCAACACTTTTGACTTTTTAACAGGAGCAGCTTGAAAGATGATATGACGCTCTATTTCTTGATATACACGTACATTTATGTATATTTTTCCTTACAAAGTGATCGTAACCATGATTCATTAACTTGGTGTTTTGGATACTGAATTTAATGGACTGATTTGGACAGATTTGATCCATAAACGCGATGATCATATCATTAAACGCGATCGCACTTTGTGTACACTCGCAGTGGGGCTAGTTACAGGGTCTAAATTCAATTCCTTACACATGATAGCTTTAATGACAAGATTGGCAGAATACAGAACTAAAGGGATAACTCTGTGTTAGGGTTTTCAATATCTTAATATATTATAACTTTTCAAGACAGAATTGGGTTGGAGGGGTTGTTAACGAGAACAATCGCAACAGTTCTTAACGTCCTTAGATTATGACGTCATAATAGCGCATAGTCAGACATTTCGTTGAAATATCTAAATCAAGACGCGTTTAGTCAATTCTTTCAAGAGTTTTTCTAAATTGCATCGTGTAATCGTGTTTATTTAGATTGAAAACAGGTAAGTGAAGAGAGTTTGGTTAGTTTGGTGATAGTGTTCACCTTAATTCTCACTAATTCAAATTTCAGACCAAAAAAAGCTTTTTTATACACTGTAAATGAATTTTCATTCTGTGTTGGCTGTATTGGCAATGTGTCACATTGTGTTGTGTTGTGTTGGTTTTGAAATGTCTGGGGTCAGGAAATATACAAAACAAAAACCCCAACTGTCATGAGTAATACAAAATACAGTGTATTATCCGACTCTTTTTACCTCGAAATCAAATTTTTAATCAGTGTATTTATTTTATTTATTTTTTAGATTCGGTCAACATGGAACAACTTCATGAATATTTATTGAAGAATGGGTGGGTAAGAGGTGCGGCGAACCATGGTGAAATGGTTTCTTCTTCAACAAGTAATTTGGATAAATGGCTTGCTGATTTTGAGAGAAAGAGATTGAATCCAGAGAGTGGATTAGAAGACAATAAAGATGGCAATGCTAAATATATTGCAAAAATATTGGCGATGATGCCCATAAAGAAACGGGTTCCTCAGCTAGAAAAAGGTAAATATTTCAAAGTAGTCTGAGAACTGTTTATTTCTCCTGGGAACGACAAGTTACCTTCAATAAGTCATAATATCCATAGCTTTCATTGAATAATCTTAATTCATAGTTAATGAATTGCTGTGTATTTCAGTAATGGTTGATGGAACGAACGTTCGTAAAAATTTGCTAAAACATGGATGGTTTGCTGTACCTGCAGTAAAGCGTGATACATGTGAAGCAAGCGAACTTCCATTCAACCAGAAGAAAGAGGAGGGGACATCAGGCATGGGAATGAATGGGAAACTGGGGAACATGCAAGAACCTGAGAACGACATTGAGAGACTACTGAACATGCTGGCTTCAAAGGAAGAACCAACGAAAGTTAGCAAATACCAGGGTAAGTTTTGATTACATACATGTATATTTAATTTTCCGTAATATCGTCATTCAAAAAGTCTTATTTTTCTGATATCATCAACAAGGCAACAATAGTGTATCACTTTCTCGGTCTTCTGGTTTTCACTGGAGGTTAGCTAACCTTCATTTTCGTTACCAAACTGATAAGCTGAATAAACAGCACCACTCTCTAGTTTGCAATCGGGACTAGGCAATTGTCATTTTCTGCTTCATATCCCATTGCTACTGGGTTGGTTTTATAAATAATATTTTGTTTGATATTGTATTCTAGGATCGGTAGATAAGTTGAAAATTCAGGAGAATTTGTTGAAACTTGGGTGGTTCAAAAAGAATGACGAAGCTACAACATCGGATGGAGATTCGGCTTCTAATACACCAGTATCTGCTGCCGACAATATGACTAACCTTGATAAGTGGTTTAAAGATTTCGAAGATCGAAGAAACAAAAACATTCAAGTTTTGGAATCTTCTGTTTCTACTGCTGTTAATAAGGATGTGGAAAAGCTTTTGGATATGCTTTCTTCAAAGAAAATTCCTCTTCATGTTAAAAGAAGTCAAGGTAAAGAACCCGCATTCTTTAAAAAAAAGTACAAAGTGGTAACTACCTCGGCACACCTGCAAGCCCAACTTACTGGTTCAATTGCCAAGATATCATGTATATAATAATGATGATACTGTTTATTTGCAGGTACAATAGACAAAATCAAGCTCAGAGAGAGTCTTCTCGAAAATGATTGGTATGCTGCACCTAGCAACAAACTGCCTGAACCTATAACTAAAACAGCTGCTCTTGACAAACCTGGATTTGATGCTCATTCCATGGAAAATGTTAATATGACAGCTATTCAACAACGCATTAGCCAGCTGGAAAACGAACAACCTGAACAACTCGAGGAAATAACACATTCAAGTTATATTGAAAATGTTTTGAACATGGTTGGAGCAAAGAAGCGACAAGAAGTAGTAGCTAATAATAAGGGTAAGACTATTTCTACCATTTTTAGTAAAATATGATGGGTCCATATCCGCATACCAAAATAACTTTGAAATGTCTAAACTCCGTATGACTTCTCGCTGGGGTACAAGATCCAGAGAAGAAGGTGTCCGTAATCGACTTTTATATTATACTTACACCGTTAATCTTATCCTTTTTCAGGAAATGTCGACAAGGAACAATTGAAGAAGAGTCTTCTGACAAAAGACTGGTATATCAGGAACGCGGCAACCATGAATTCTGTTGACACTACTGCTGAAAACCCCAATGCACTTAACGATTGCAGCAGAACAACAGAAGGCATAAAATCTATTATGGATACACCAGGAAAGGTTGAAATAAACAACAGTTGCCATGAAACTGACAACACCATTGATGATGTAGCTACTGAACCTCAAGGTGGGTCCTATGATATATTTTTCTTTCCTTTTTTTGCATTATCCACAGACATATAGAACCTCAGGCCTTTGATATTTCTAAACCAGGTTTATTCCACTGGGCAATCATTCGAGGAATTGTTTGCTACAGGATAGTTGATAAGCTTTCTATAACAAGGTGTGGGAGCTGGTGCAGCTACATCATCTGTTTACAACCACAACAGGTGCAAAATCAATATATCGAGACTTTGGACTGGCTGGTAGAGAGGAACCCCGAAAACTGACATTATCATTTTATCACTTCCTTTCTTGTTCGTGTATTAAAAGATCGGATATTTCTATTTATAGAAGCTGTTAATGATGAAACTAATTCCGAAACAACATCTTTAAATCCAAAAGATGAAAAAACCGTTTCTAAGGTTCCAAAAAATGTATCTCGCCGAATTATTAAGATCAAAGAAAAGAAGAAGAAATTATATGTAGAAAGGTGGTTAGAAGGCATCCAAGAGTCAGCTACCAGCCAGAAAAGAGCTCATGGTAAAAATAAAAAGAATCTTAGAAAAGTACAGAAAAGGTCAGCTGGAGCTAAAGGTAAAATCCGAAACATGATCAATCAAAAACAAAACAAATCTGAATATATATAGTGCAAGTGTTCTTTCCGTCATAATAATTATTAGTTACATACATGTATGTTGTACGCCTTATTTTCCAAATCAGCTCTCCTGATGATGATTCTACCCAAAACTCGTGCCAAAGAAAATTATATTTTTTCAATGTCTTTCAAAGTTGAATTTTATTATTATTTCGTAATGATCATTTCAGCAAAATCATCCAAGAAAACCAGACCTCATGAAGCTGCCATCCAAAGTCGGCATCTGATCACAGTGGTTACAGTTCCCGAATCCACTTCCAAGAATGATGATTCAATAGGCTATAAGCCAGTTACCATCAAAAGAGATACAAGCAGGGATAGTATAAGACAGGATAGATTCTACAATCCAAGACAAAGTAGAAGAGACATATTTGAGGCTCAAAAGAAAAGCAAAATCACATCATTAGAAAGGGAAGCTCCTGTAACTGGTAAGTCTGCTTAGTGTGTCAACCCCAGCTTTTAATCATTCTCTTATCTGTTGCTATTTATATTGTTTACCATTGACAAAGTTAGAGAGGCCGTCTGGTAATATGGAAAATTGATATTATTGGTAATAGTTTTTTTATAATTTTTCTTTAGGCGTGTCTCATAAGAAGACCCTGTTTAGAAGATTTGTTGGAAGATCTAGAAAATTGATTGGAAGATTATTCAAGTGTGGAAGAAAGGAGGAATAAGTGGATACAAATATAGATTTATTTTCTTTTGTGTAGAAAGTGCCATATTAAAATGTATACATGTATACTATATATATTATTTATTAAAGATTTCTGTTTTTAAAATTGTTTTATATTCAATAACATCAGGTGAATATGTCCTTCAGTATCCACACAACATTGAGCTCACTGGCTGCAAAAACATACATCCATTGAAGCCATTGGTTATTAGTTAACGTCTCAAAAGGGGATATAGATCTGTAGTGGGTGGCAACCTGCAATAATCATTCAACTCTAACACATGTATTTCTGCCCACTTCTACTTCATGGCAGAAACTTTTGGAACATTTCAATCCTGGCAATAATGATTCGAATAACTTTATAATTAGTCATTATGGTCGCAAAATCACAATGATGAACGTTGATAGATCGCAAAATCACAAAATAAGGATGTATATGGAAGGTATAGAGGAGCGGGAGGAAGAACACTTCAAACCGGATGTTATTATAAAATTGGCGGGAACAATCATATGTGATATTTGTCAGCATCATTCCGTATCATACCCAGTGGCTCAACTAGATGAGTTGGGGGCATGGACTTGAGTAGGTTGAGGCCCCTTCCCTCATTAATACTTTTTGGATGGGAGGGCTGAGTGGGCTTCCAAGCTGGCATCGTGTCCAAATCACACTCACATTCGTCATACTTACTCGTCAAAACCCGTATTTGCGATACGATGACAAGCGGGTACCCGTGGACTTATGGTAGTTGAGTCATAACAAAGGAAACATGCATATCGTTCGTCCTCATAGCATACTGGTACACTTATGGCTTATTTACATTGGGTAATATTTACCTTCAAGGACAAACAGATGTATATTGGACTAACAGTGGGGTCCTATTATAATGAATCCATGCAAGTTTTATTGTAGCAGCTATCATTATGTCCCTTTGTAATGCAAATGAGCAATGTTATTCCATTTCCAGATTTTGTTGTCAGTTATATTTGGTTGGATCTTGAGTGTAATATTGACCTACGCTGGAGTATTATCGTCTGATCCTACCAGTACGGAGTATTATGCTAGAACAGACGCAAGAAATGAGATTTTATCCAGAAATCCCTGGTTTTTCTTCCCATATCCATGTAAGCATAAGTTTGCAATAAAGTCAGCTCTCCTGTATCCTGCGGTTAGCTAAGAATCTAATTTTTTTCAGATAATTGGGGTCTCGTCGACATGGACGATTGGAATCTGTGACTATTCAGTTGATCATAGGTGCTAGTGACCGATCTATTTCTCGTTTCAACTGTTGAATGAGAAGATGAGATGAGAAGTAGACCTAATCCCAACTCAATAACGTTTTATGACACGATTCAAGGATTTAAGTACGACAACAGACAATTTAAAGGATAGATCCTTTTCATTCATTCTTGTACAAAAACTTAGTCCAAGGACAGCCGACAAAGTAAGTTCAAAATTGTACATTTTTTAGGTCAGTTTTCAATGCCCCAGTTTGATACGCCAGCGTTTGCTGGGGCAATGGTGGCTACGATTATGTCCATTGTGGATTCTATTTGCGATTACAATGCTTGTGCCAGGATGTGTTACGTTCCTTTCCCACCTTCACATGCATTAAATCGTGGAATATTCTGGGAAGGTCTGATGAGTTTCTTTGCTGGAATAACTGGTTGTGGACATGGTACCAATTCTTATGGTGGTAATATAGGAGCTATTGGAATAACCAAGGTAAATATTTTATGACCAATGATGCATTTTATTATAAGTTCGAATCCATATCGTACAGAGTTTTTTTTTTAATTGTCTTTGTGTACAAACACTCGTGGTCCTGAACGACCAGCCTCTGATATTAGATCTACAAGAATCACATGATCATGTGACAATATTGACATAGTTACGGCAAACTATGACTGCCATTCGTTGCCGTAATATGTTGCAGAGCGCTAAGGTGTTACAGTTCTCATCTAAATTATTATTATGAATAGCAAAAATTTATATTGGGATTTCTTTTGTAACATTTCAGGCTGCCAGTCGGCTGATACTACAAGGATGTGGGGTGATCTATGTATTGTTTGCTGTATTAGGAAAGTTGAATGCTGCGTTTATCACCATTCCCTATAGTGTCCTTGGAGGAACTATGATACTATATTATGGAATATTTTTTGGAGTTATTTTGTCACAGTTACAGTTTGTGAATTTAAATGACACGAGAAATCTTGCTATATTAGGAATCAGTGTGTTAGTGGGATTCATGCTACCTCACTGGGTGGAAAAACGACCCGATGGCTTAAATACCGGTAAGAATTTGGTTGAGGTTTTTCAATGAAAGAAAATTTGTGGCTTTATTCAATTGATCGCTTTACGATATTTTCAATTCTGCGCGATATGTGACGTATTGCACCAAGCTACTCTCAATCATTATCATTTAGGCGAAGGCCGAGTAAATATACCACGAAAATGATAATCTGCGGCCATTAAGAGGTGATTCTTTCTCACTTTCTGCCTCCCCCAAGATATTTCTTATCTCTTACGTGTAGTAAAGTATTAGTACTATTTCATTAGGTAATTGAGCTACATAACGAATATAGTAAATTATATTTGTGAAAGACTCTTTTTATGCGCAATTTTATGTTTATATTCTAATATCCTTTTCTAGGTATTGAAGGATTAGACAGAACTCTTACTATGTTAGCAGCCAATGGTGTATTTGTGGCAGGATTCGTAGCTTGTTTTCTAGATAACACAGTTTCAGGTATATTAATATCCCGATTATGACATGACCCGTCACTGTGAGCAATGAGGTGTTAACTTGATTGGTCTAATGCAATTTCGAAACATGTTAAATGGACAGTTGCGCCATTTTCGGTGGTTGATTTTGGTCTTGAATGTATGTAAATGTTTTTCGGAAATACTAGAAATTGCGAAAATCACATAATTCCTTCAAAAATGCTTCAAACTAGGAGGTTCACTATTCCATTTCTTTTCTATATATATATGCACCAATGAAGAAGGGCGACGCATTGTAATGAAGGAAGTTTTTCTATGACAGCAGCATTAGCTTGCTCTTTTTCGATTTCCAAGTGTCGAGCACAGCCTGTAGCACACGGGGTCTCGGTTAATCGTCCCATCGACACTATAGACGCCTTTTCCATGTCAGCCCCTCTTACTGCATCACTGACAGGCGGGAACCAGGAAGAAAAAACTATATATGATAGAGAAAGACGGAACACACTTGGATTTGAGGGTTTAAATGATGATGAGCTGTGAACAATATTACTGATAAGCTCAGCTAAAAAATAAATCCCATTTCTGAGACTAACGTACGATTGGTAAAAAAAAAATGGTGCACCTATCCCGTCCCATCACGTCTATGAGTCAGGACATGCTCACTCTTCTTTCTTTTTTTATAATAGGTAGCAGAGAATCTCGTGGACTGGAGGCACAGCTTGGAGGTGAAGATACTGTTGGGAAACCACTAGAGTTTTTAGAAGGGAAGGAAGTGTACGATATTCCATGGTTACCAAAACGGTTAAAAAATTCAGCCTTAGCTAGAATAAGTCCCATGCTACCAAATTATACAGAAAGCTATAAGAGCGAAGAGCAAATAAAGAAGAAATAAACATATTTTGCACTGCGTTTTGTCATCTTATTTCCCAAATGGCAGAGTCAATATGGCAGTGTCTGAAGAAAACACGACTCGTCTTTTTAACTTTCCATCGAGGATAATTCTGGACACACATGGATATGAAGGCTCAAATATCGGCGATGAGGTGTGAACACAAATTTAATTACCTAATATAGACATAACTATGATGACATAAGCATATTAAAGGGTTTTTAAAAGGGAAGTTAAATTAAGAATCAAGGCATTATGCCACTTATATATGTATAAGACTACAGCATTTAATAGTATATTATGGTGTTTACTGGTACTGATTTAGATATACCATGACTCAGTTCAGATGCATACTTCACGAATAAGGAACTCAAAAGTACAAAAACCTAACAGGGAAAGGGGACTCAGATCAATTTAAGATCACGGCATCTAAAACGAACCGTTGCTCACTACATCAAATTATCCGACTGATAACAACAAAACAACTTTTAGATCGCAGATTCCGATCCCTCAGTTTGACATGAACTACTTTGGATAGCACTGTATAAAACCGCGGTTTTCAGTCATCGGTGCGTTTAGGGCGGCTAACTTCCAACGGACCCGTTGTTCACTAAGTCAAATTATCCGACTGATAACTACAAAACAACTTTTAGATCGCAGATTCCGATTCTCTCATTTTGACACGAAATATTTTCGATAGTACTGTATAGTTCTAATCGGTGGCAACTAACGAAAACCGTGGTTTTTCAGTCGCAACTAACTCCCAACGGACCCGTTGTTCACTTAGTCAAATTTTCAGATTGATTATAACAGCGATACTTGACTTTAGTCATGTAATTGTACCGTTCCAATCACAACTTAATACATAATGTCATATTATTCATATGCACTTTGTGCACATTCACAGAGGAGTGAGTTACGGGTTCTAAATTCAATTCCTCACACATGATAGCTTTAATGACAAGATTTTCATCATGCAGAATTAAATGGATAAGTCTATAATAGGGTTTTTTAAAAAGGCATATTCCCATTGCCCCTTTCCATTATGTCCTTTCCCGATTAGCCCCGTTTTTAATTTGCACCATTTTAATTTCGCCCTCTTTTCATTTCGTCCCTGTCCTGTTTCTACGCATTCCAAGTCTCTTATTCCCACGTCTCTTTCCACTTCGTCTCTTTCCAAATTCGTCTCTTTCCAACTTCGTCTCTTTCCCATTTTCATTGCACTTACAAAGTACAAGAGTAAGTCCGATACAAAAATTAATATCTGAAAAATTTGAAAAGGCGTTCATAGCCATCAAACATTTACATATAATTTCAACTAATTGAAGTTATTGAATACAAATCTTAATTTTGTTTGTGTTTTTATCAAATTTTAACCGCCCCAGTACCATTATACACCCAGGGCCGGAATTAAAATCGAAACAAGGATAAATATATTAGTTTAAAAAGAAGGTGTGAAGTGGGAAGGGGCGCGAAGTAGAATGAGACAAAATGAATAAGGGTAACAGGAAAAGGGACAAATTGGGAAGGGGTAATATGGGGAAGTGTCGACGCGGAGAAGGGGCGAAAAGGGAATATTTAGGGGCGAATTGGGAAGGGGAGAAATGAGAAGGGGCGATGTGGGAAGGCACCCTTATAAAAATATAATATTCCTAAAAAATGGCGGGGTGGGTTGTTAACGAGAACAATCGCAACAGTCCTTAACGTCCTTATATTATGACGTCATAATAGCGCATAGTCAGACATTTCATAGAAATATCTAAATCAAGACGCGTTTAATCAATTCTTTATAGAGTTTTTCTAAATTGCATCGTGTAATCGTGTTTATTTGGATTGAAAATAGGTAAGTGGAGAGAGTTTGGTTAGTTTGGTGATGGTGCTCACCTTAATGCTCACTAATCCAAATTTCAGAGCAAAATTAACTTGTTTAATGTAAATGAATTTTCTTTCTGTGTTGGCTGTATTGATAATGTGTCACATTGTGTTGTGTTGTGTTGGTTTTGAAGTGTCCAGGGTCAGGAAATATACAAAACAAAAACTCCAACTGTCTTGAGTAATACAAAATACAGTGTATTATCTGACTCTGTTTACTTCGAAATTAAATTTTTAATCAGTGTATTTATTTTTTAGATTCGGTCAACATGGAACAACTTCATGAATATTTATTGAAGAATGGGTGGGTAAGAGGTGCGGTGAATCATGGTGAAATGGTTTCTTCTTCAACAAGTAATTTGGATAAATGGCTTGCTGATTTTGAGAGAAAGAGATTGAATCCAGAGAGTGGATTAGAAGACAATAAAGATGGCAGTGCTAAATATATTGCAAAAATATTGGCGATGATGCCCATAAAGAAACGGGTTCCTCAGCTAGAAAAAGGTAAATATTTCAAAGTAGTCTGAGAACTGTTTATTTCTCCTGGGAACGACAAGCTACCTTCAATAAGTCTAATATCCATAGCTGTCATTGAATAATCTTAATTCATAGTTAATGAATTGCTGTGTATTTCAGTAATGGTTGATGGAACAAACGTTCGTGAAAATTTGCTAAAACATGGATGGTTTGCTGTGCCTGCAGTAAAGCGTGATACATGTGAAGCAAGCAAACCTCCATTCAACCAGAAGAAAGAGGAGGGAACATCAGGCATGGGAATGGATGGGAAACTGGAGAACAGGCAAGAACCTAAGAACGACATAGAGAGACTACTGAACATGCTGGCTTCAAAGAAAGAACCAACGAAAGCTAGCAAATACCAGGGTAAGTTTTGATCAGATGCATGTATATTTAATTTTCCATAATATTGTACTTCAAAATTTCCATACATTATTTTTCTGCAACAATAGTGTACTGCCCGCTTGTTTTCAACCACAGGTTAGCTAACGTTCATTTCCATTACCAAACTGATAAGCTGAACACGCAGCACCACTCTCTAGTTTGCAATGGGGGCTAGGAAATGGCAATTTTCTGCCATTTTATAAATAATATTTTGTTTGATATTGTATTCTAGGATCAGTAGATAAGTTGAAAATTCAGGAGAATTTGTTGAAACTTGGGTGGTTCAAAAAGAATGACGAACCTACAGCATCGGATGGAGATTCGGCTTCTAACACACCAGTATCTGCTGCCGACAATATGACTAACCTTGATAAGTGGTTAAAAGACTTCGAAGATCAAAGAAACAAAAACATTCAAGTCTTGGAATCTGCAGTTTCTACTGCTGTTAATAATGATGTGGAAAAGCTTTTGGATACGCTTTCTTCAAAAAAAATTCCTCTTCATGTTAAAAGAAGTCAAGGTAAAGAATCGGCATTAGATTTTACTGCCGTGCAAAATATTCCAATGGCTACCAAATGAATTTAAGTGGCAAACAGTTACGGTTTTCTGTACAAATTGGTAACTACCTCAACACTCCCAAATTAATTGCTCACTTGCCAAGATACCATGTGTAATATATATTAATGATGATACTGTTAATTTGCAGGCACAATGGACAAAACCAAGCTCAGAGAGAGTCTTCTCGAAAATGATTGGTATGCTGCACCTAGCAACAAACTGTCTGAACCTACAACTAAAACAGCTGCTCTTGACAAACCTGGATTTGATGCTCATTCCATGGAAAGGGTAAAGATTACAGCTATCCAACAACGCATTAGGCAGCTGGAAAACGAACAACCTGAACAACTCGAGGAAATAACACATTCAAGTTACATTGAAAATGTTTTGAACATGATTGGAGCAAAGAATCGACAAGAAGTAGTAGCTAATAATAAGGGTAAGACTATTTCTACAATTTTATGGTAAAATATGAAGGGTCCATACCACAATAATTTTGAAATTGCAATGTCTAAACTCCGTATCACTTGCAACCACTTCTCTCGGGGGTGTAGGATCCAGAGAGGTGGGTGCCCATAATCGACTTTTATATTATACTTACACCGGTAATCTTATCTTCTTCCAGGAAAGGTCGACAAGGAAGAATTAAAGAAGAGTCTACTAACAAAAGGCTGGTATATCAGGAACGCGGAAACCATGAATTCTGTTGACACTACTGCTGAAAACCCCAATATACTTAACGATTACAGCAGAACAACAGAAGGCATAAAATCTACCAGTGACTCACCAAGAAATGCTGAAATTGATGATGTAGCTACTGACCCTCGAGGTAGGTCCTATGATATATTTTTCTTTACATTTTCTTCTTCTTTTTTTTCAAATCATCCATAGAAATACAGAACCTCGGGGGTTACCCCCAGAAGTCTGTTATTTCTAGGAATCAGGTCTTTTGGACAGGGCAATCACTTGTTTGCTACAGAGTAATTAATGGGCTTTCTATAACAAGGTGTGGGAGTTACATCATCTGTTTACAACCACAACAGGTACAAAATCAATACAGACTTTGGACTAGCTGGTAGAAAGGATCCCCGAAAACTGACATTATCATTTTATCACTTCTTTGTTCTTGTTCTTGTACTAAACGATTGGACATTTCTATTTATAGAAGCTGTTAATGATGAAACTAATACCGAAATAACATCTTTAAAACCAAAAGAAGAAACAACCGTTTCTAAGGTTCCAAAAAATGTATCTCACCGAATTATTAAGATCAAAGAAAAGAAGAAGAAATTATATGTAGAGAGGTGGTTAGAAGGCATCCAAGAGTCAGCTACCAGCCATAAAAGAGCTCATGATAAAAATAAAAAGAATCTTGGAAAAGTACAGAAAAGGTCAGCTGGAGCTAAAGGTAAAATCCCAATCATGATTAATCAAAAATAAAACAAATCTGAATATATATAGTGCAAGTATTATTTCCGTCAAAACACTCGTTACATACAGGTACATTGTACGCCTTATTTTCCAAATCAGCTCTCCTGATGATGGATTCTTCCCGAAACTCGTGTCAAATAAAATTATGTTTTTTCAATGTCTTTCAAAGTTGAATTTTATTATTATTTCGTAATGATCATTTCAGCAAAATCATCAAAGAAAACCAGATCTCATGAAGCTGCCATCCAAAGTCGGCATCTGATCACAGTGGTTACAGTTCCCGAATCCACTTCCAAGAATGAGATACAAGCAGGGATAGTATAAGACAGGATAGATTCTACAATCCAAGACAGAGTAGAAGAGACATATTTGAGGCTCAAAAGAAAAGCAAAATCACATCATTAGAAAGGGAAGCTCCTGTTACTGGTAAGTCTGCTTAGTGTGTCAACCCCAGCTTTTAATCATTCTCTTATCTGTTGGTATTTATATTACCACTGACAACGTTAAAGTAGCCGTCTAATTCTAGGAGATTTAATTATGGATAATTCATATTAGTAATGTTTTTTTTTAATTTCTTTTTAGGTGTAGCTCATAAGAAGACTTTGTTTAGAAGATTTGTTGGAAGATCTAGAAAATTGATTGGAAGATTATTCAAGTGTGGAAGAAAGGAGGAATAAGTGGATACAAATATAGATTTATTTTCTTTTGTGTAGAAAGTGCCATATTAAAATGTATACATGTATACTATATATATTATTTATTAAAGATTTCTGTTTTTAAAATTGTATTATATTCAATAACATCAGGTGAATATGTCCGTCAGTATCCACACAACATTGAGCTCACGGGTTGCAAAAACATACATCCATTGAGGCACATTTTGCAAGTAGAAGCCATTAGATAGGGACCTGTAGTCGGTGGCAACCTGCAACAGGTATTCAACTCTAAAACTTGTATTTATTCCCACTTTAACCTCATGACAGAAAGTTTTTAAGTTCAATCCTTGGAATAATGAATTGACCAACTTCAAAATTGGTCATTATGGCCGCAAAATCGCAATAATGAACGTTGACAGATGTCAAAACTACAACAGAAGGATGTATAAGGAAGGTGAAGAGGGGCGTGAGGAAGAACACTTCAAACCAGAACAATCTAAGGATATGATAGTTGCCGGCATCATTCTGTATCATCACCAGTGGCTTAACTATTGAGTTGGTTGAGGTCCCTTCCCCCCGGGGAAAATGTTTTCCTGACATATGCTCTCCGGAATTCCGTGACCTCTCTGAAAGTTAATTTAATGATTGTTAATACTTTTTGGGTGGGGGGTGGGGGTAGGTGGGTGTTTCAAGCAGGCATCGTGTCCAAACCGCACCAACATTCGTCATACTTCCTCGTCAAAACCTGTATTCGCGATACGATGACAAGCGGGGACCTGAGGACTCAGTTCAGTATTATGGTTGCTGAGCCATAGATCATAACAAAGGAAGCATATCGTTCGTCCTCATAGCATACTGGTACATTTAAGGCTTATTTACATTTGGTAATATTTACCTTTAAGGACAAAAAGAGATTTATATTGTACAATTAATGGGGTCCATGCAAATTTTATTGTAGTAGCTATCATTATGTTATTCCATTTCCAGATTTTGATATCAGTTATATTTGGTTGGATCTTGAGTGTAATATTGACCTACGCTGGAGTATTATCGTCTGATCCTAACAGTACGAAGTATTATGCTAGAACAGACGCGAGAAATGAGATTTTTTTCCCATATCCATGTAACATGTAAGCATAAGTTTGCAATAAAGACAGCTAAATTTTGAAACTTCCCACTGAACAGGATTCCGTCTATTTCCTCTCAGATATCTCGATATATGTCTTTGTGTACAAATACTGTAGTCTTGAACGACCAGCCTCTGATATTAGATCTACAAGGATCACATGATCATGTGACAATATTGACATAGTTCCGGCAAACTATGACTGCCATTCGTTGCCGTAATATGTTGCAGAGCGCTAAGGTGTTACAGTTCTCATCTAAATTATTATTATGAATAGCAAAAATTTATATTGGGATTGTTTTTGGTGACATTTCAGGCTGCCAGTCGGCTGATACTACAAGGATGTGGGGTGATCTATGTATTGTTTGCTGTATTAGGAAAGTTGAATGCTGCGTTTATCACCATTCCCTATAGTGTCCTTGGAGGAACTATGATACTATATTATGGAATATTTTTGGAGTTATTTTGTCACAGTTACAGTTTATGAATTTAAATGACACGAGAAATCTTGCTATATTAGGAATCAGTGTGTTAGTGGGATTCATGCTACCTCACTGGGTAGAAAAACGACCCGATGGCTTAAATACCGGTAAGAATTTGGTTGAGGTTTTTCAATGAAAGAACAGGTAGCAGAGAATCTCGTGGACTGGAGGCACAGCTTGGAGGTGAAGATACTGTTGGGAAACCACTAGAGTTTTTAGAAGGGAAGGAAGTGTACGATATTCAATGGTTACCAAAATGGTTTAAAAATTCAACCTTAGCTAGATTGAGTCCCATGCTACCAAATCATACAGAAAGCCAGGAGGACGAAGGGCAATTTAAGAAGAAATAAATATATTTTGCAATGCATTTTGCAAGAAAATGAGGCATGTTACTGCCATAAGGCATAACTTTCCCATTCAAAGATAATTTCAACAATTGATTGGGGCGAAATGAAATTATTTTCATCAAATGAATAAAAACATTTTGATAAATTTTTTTTTATTATTATTAATTATACCATACCATAACGAGACGAATTAACATGTAGCCGAATAATCATTTAAGTAACGATGGACATGGTAAATAGTCACTGCCAATGCCAATACAAATTACTCGAATGACAGTTTGATCGGAAAATACTTGCAGTTAGCGCACTGACACAGATCAAGATACAACAATAATATGCTTCAAACTTCGATAAACAAAATTCTATAAGTATCTGACGGGTATGTCTGTAGAACTTAAAATATTATCAATAATTATGTCCGGGAAAAGTTGGAGGCGACTCTTCTGTGCAAATGAAATATGGCGGTCAAACACGATGATCAAGGATGGTCACATGGACCAATGGAAATTAAATAACCTTATATAGACAAATGATGACATAATATAAGCATAATACAGCTGGAAATTTGAATTTAATTGCGATAAGTGACTACTACAACCTGGTACCACTCAACTAGATATTCACTAGATAAGCAAAATGAAAAATCGAAGTATTCTGAAAACCTTATCTTATCACTACGACTTTTAATAATATCTTATGGTGCTTGCTGATAATGATTTTGATATGTCATTAGTTCAGTTTTAGTTAAGTACTTCACAAAATGGCAACCAAGTGTCTCAACTAGATGAATCTTCCGTAATTTTTCTAGGATGGGGGCCCTTAGTGGTAGGACTCATCCAGTCCCTATGGTAGTTGAGCCACTGAATTAAGAAACTCGGACGTCCCATATCAGATTTGCTCACGAAGTCAAATTATCCGACACAAAACAAAACAAAACAACCTTATAATCTCAGATTCCGATCTCTAATTTTGACCCTAATACATATTACTGGATAGTACTTTAGAATATTAGTAATTGGTGGCTACTAATGACAACCGCGGTGTTTCAGTTATCGGTGCGTTTAGGGCAATAACTTTCCCATAGACCCGTTGCTCACTAATTATCCAACTGTTAACAACAGCGATAACAGCAACATATAGTAAACTACACTTTAGTTATGCAATTGTACCGTTTAAAATTGAAATTCTTAATTCCAAGCACAACTTATGTGTTTATTATTCAAGTCATGTGCATTTACTGTGCATTAACACCAAACCATGTGATGTCCTTCATTGACTATCGCATGTCTCTGAATATGGCAGAACAATCGAATGGGAAGAATTTTGAGGAATGTGTTCCTTTGAATGCCAAATCTAAAGATGCTGAAGCGGCTGACGAGAACAGACAGGATGAAGAAGTGGAGTTCGATATTGAGGAGCCTGTTAAATTATATTTTAAAATATCAGACAGACCACCAGTCCAAGTGAATATTCTTTTATCTGTACAGGTAAATCTTATATTTTTCTTGTTTGCCATCCTGTATTAGCTTGATCTCAGACATGAAATACGAATGTGATATTGGTGAACGATAACATACCCCTTGAATGTATTGTGGTAACGTGTGGGCTCATGGAATCGTAGAATATCTGGTCACGACGGACTTATTAATGGTTTAACTAAGTATAAATACCAAAATTTATGACGAATTTCGCTTTTGCCATGGTGAAATTCTTCAAAACTAGCAGCTAAAAGTTGGTTTGGTTCAGCTCCTATAATATTGTGACATTTTGTGTCTGGCCCCTATGTTACGTTTGCGAAACGTGATCACTGTACTGGGGTGTAGAACTGCAATTAATTTATACGTCTTTTCATTTCGATAGCTATTATGCATTATTTTTCTGGTACAATTTCTGTGGCCATCTTCCTAAGTAAAAGAAGTGTTTTTGTCACAATTATGCAAGATCTTAAACAGAAACTGACAGTGTTATTACCGATCTAGTATATTGGCGATTCAAAACTCTATAGCCTAAAATAACGTAATGGTGGGGTCGATGGGGTTGGCCCCAGCCAGTGAGAATTTAGCCCCGGCAACCTCTATTTCGGCCTCTTTAGCCGAAATTGATATATTCAACAGTGTCTTCGTACAAGACCACGAAGGTTTGATATTGCGTCTTAAAATATTTACAAATGAGTTTCTCAGGGGTTCTTATTTTCAAAATTTTCATGGTTGGGAGATTCCCCAGTTCATAATACTTGTGCCGCTTCGCTCCGCTCCTGCACCACCTCAGCACAAAATCCGAGCCCCAATTCAATCTTGGCGACGGGGCTGGCTCTATGGCAATTGTAGCTCAAAAAGCTTCTTGACAAATTGAACCTTTTTCAGCAAGCATTATTGTCAGTCTCTAGTTCACTTTCCATTTCCTTACTGGTGTCTGAATTGGTCTGTGCCGGAGATGATCCAGAGATTCAAGCTCAGCTTCTTGGAACCACCTTCATGATGGCTGGAATTGCAACTCTTTTAATGTGTACTGTTGGTTGTCGGTGAGTGGTTATCTGACCGTTTGAAAAACTCAATTCCAACCAATTATCTCAGCAACTGGTGTCATATTAAAGACAGCACTAATTTGGTTTAAGAGTCTCGTAGTCAGACTTTCAATTGAGCACAGGTCATTAGAGGCACAGTTATTTAGGCAAATCTCTAATTAAGCACATATATTCACTAGGCACACACTTTTGGTCACACTAATATTAGGCACACTGCCAATAAGGAACACCAGATGTATATGACCTGTGCCCAAATGAACGTGTCTAACTGATTTGTGCCTAAAATATGTGCGCCCAATTGATTGCTTACTATTTTTTTCATGTAGGCAGCATATTTGTTGATGACAAAGATTTGCTTTTGGTTAACATACACATTGTTTGCTTTAAAGATGATTATTTTTTGCTATCAATTCAACTCTCATCACTTCCCTGTTAAAATAAAATTTTTTACTTACTCTTAGCCTTCGGATAATCGGATTTTCATATTTCAGGTTGCCAATATTTCAAGGACCAAGTTCTTCGTATATTATTCCATTACTTGGCTTGACGAATCTGGCTGAGTGGTCTTGTCCAAATCAAGAATATTTGAGTAAGTTGAGTTTAAGATCAAACGAACAAAGGTCATACAATTTTGTTTTCTTAATGAAAGCTTTAAAACCACCAATTTCATCAATGTTAATAGAATATGATAAAATAATGTAAGACACCATAAACTTTGAAATAACTATACATTGTTGACTTCCAAATACAAATATCATAAAGTCAATGAATTGTATATTATATTAAAGCTATCATGCTTTAATAAAAGCAACATCAATTTTTTTTTTCATAAAAAAATTCTGTAGTCCATTATGGAGGTAGACTATATATTATGTACCAAATGCTGTATATTCCAGGTTCTTATTATGCCAATTCTTCTGTGTTAAATGTAACAAATTATGGTGGTAGACTTCCAGTACCTAGAGAAATCATCTATAATCAGTTATCAAAGGTAAGTATAAGTTAATTGGTGATTGTTGTATAGCTTTAAGAGTTTGCTTTCCCACTTCAGTTTGGGATGATAAAGCCATGTAGTGTGGAATCAGGAGAATTCTCATTTTTTTAATTTCCAACTGTCACTGACAGATAATATTAAGACTGTGAGGCTCGCAGTTATTGCACATAACTGGTTCCACTCTGCATTCGTGTTTGTCTACTCGATCATGACATCTCATCATCGTGTACAACGGTGCTCAATCGCATTAACCATTCTTTTTCAGTTGCAAGGTAGTTTAATGGTGGCTGGTACCATACATATGTTAATAGGATTCACTGGATTAGTTGGTGTGGTAGCTCGATATGTTGGTCCAATTACAATTGTGCCGGCACTTCTACTAGTTGTTTATTATATGCATCGAATATCTGTAAAGTTTGCAGAAACTCATTGGGGAACGTCTGTTGCGTAAGTATAGCTTATTTGTTGTGACGAGGAGCGGAAGTGGTTCAAGAAAGCAGACGTCTGCAGTGGAATAAAATACTGGAATTTAGAACAAACCTCCTTTTGCAATGCAGGAGTGAATGATGGTTTTCACAAAAAAGACCAAATTATAGGTTTCATTGTTAGCCATGTAGACCCGAGGGCTTTAAGTTACTAGATTTATCATAAAGTAATGAAACATCAACCATTAGAAGCATTTTTTCCTCTTTCAGAACAGCACTTTGTGGAATTATCTTGTCATTATATCTAAGAAACTATAAAACACCCATTCCATTCTGGACAAAGAAAAGGGGATTTCATATCATATGGTATCCACTGCACCAAGTATTTTCAGTGAGTATCTGCATTGGTCATATTATGGTTTTCATAACCTCTTCGTATCATTGCTAATTTGCTTCTCCACCTCAGAGTCCAAGATCATCAAAATACTCCTGCCGCCCTTCCCTTTGCTTACATATATGTCGCTTGCACAATGCTGAGTATTACGAACCGATACAGCGAGAAAAGCTCCAGTCTAGAATATGTGCTCGAAGTTGTAAATTAGTCAAGAGCGTTAATTCAAAATAGCTTGTAAAAATTATATCTATCTCGAACTGATCCGATATTACATTCTTGCATTTACATTAAGCGAATATACGAATATAATTTTGGCTACTGGCGGGGATTTAGGGCAGTCACGAGAATCTTGATTAGACCATCAGCAGAGTGTGGTTTCTTGAAACCAATCGGAAGTGTTACAGCACCGTAAACCTGGTGAGTAAATCGGATTCTTAAACTATCTTGATCTAGTGGTTTTGTTGTATTGTATCGAGAGATACCGATATCCTTTTTTGACTTTTGATTAATTGACTGGTAGGGTCTTCTTTTAGGAATTAAATTAAAACCGAAGTCTGTTGTTTTGCATTCAAGACAACGATATATTCAAGTAACCAATTAAAGCAACTAAAAAATGCAGATGTACCATAAAACCAAAACTCGAAATTTGCATTTTTTGGGCAACAACATGGGGTGGGTAATGAATTATCCAATCATAGCGAAGGCTTCAGCAAACCATTATTACTTATGACGTCATAATAACGTTCCATGACATTATTCCATTATTCGACACTTTGTTGGAATAAGAAGACGTATAAAGTCATTTTACCTACATCTTACGAAATATTTCACTCTTGAAACTTTTTAGCGCATCAAAAATTCAGTAAGTATTTTAAATTTAAGATAATCAACAAAGAATTTGCATATTTCATTGAATAATCTTAATTTTATACTTTATGATTTACTATCTTCTTTCAGTAATGGTTGATGCAACAAACGTTCGTGAAAATTTGCTAAAACATGGATGGTTTGCTCTACCTGCAGTAAAATGTGATGCATGTGAGGCATTTCCATTCAACCAGAGGAAAGAGGAGGGGATATCAGACGTTGGAATGACTGGGAAATGCAATGAAAACCTACAAGTGGAGGACATCCAAGAACCAAAAGACGACGCAGAAAAAGTACTGACCATGTTAGATTCAAAAACGAACCTCCAAAATGTATCTCACAAAATTATTACGAACAAAGAAAAGAAGAACATATTATTTGTAGAAAGTTGGTTAGAGGGCCTCCCGGAGACGTTTACAGACCATAGCAGAGTTAATGATGAAAAAACATGGAATCTTGGGAATATACAGAAAAAGTCAACTGGAGCTAAAGGTAAAATCCCAAACATGATTAATCAAAAACAAAACAAATCTGAATATTTCTAGTTCAAGTGTTCTTTCTGATTTCCATACAAGCTCTCCTGATGACGTATTCTATCTGAAACTCTACAGCATTCTAATTATAATTTTATAATTTCAGAAAAATCAAAGAAAATCAAACCTCATGAAGCTGCCATCAACCGTCTTCTTGAACAAGGCTGGTCAATAACTAAGAAAAGTCGTCATCAGATAACAGTGGTCAAAGTTCCGGAATCCATGAATGATCCTTCGACACCTGGTAAGTTGTCTTAATATGTCAAATACCAGCCAGGGATGGTTCAACCATATTCTTCTGGATCATTTGTCGCCGTCATATTTTTTAAACGCTGACATATTTAAATCAGATATTTAAAAAGGAGTAAATTTCTAAATTATGGATGATTCATATCGTTTTTAATGGATTCTTAATTTATTTGTAGGTGTTTCTCATAAGAAGACTTTGTTTGGAAGATTCATTCAAAGATCACGAAAATTGATGGAAAGCTTTTTCCAGTGTGGAATGAAGGAGGAATGAATGACGGGATGGATCAAAATATAGACTCTTTTCATGTAGAAGCGCGACATGCATTTTACTGCTTTGTTAATGGATTATTTTGTAAATATACATGTATTGTATATGATATATTAAACAAATTTAGGCCTATAATTACAAATCTGTTTTATATGTAATAACATAAGGAATATTTCCATTTAACGTCCCTTTGAGTTGATTTGCTGAAAACACATTTTGCAAGGTGAAGCTACCAGAGGGACTGATTAAACCAAGGCCACGGGGGGGGGGGGGGGGGGCACCCCTAAGAGTGAGAGGTCGAGGAAGGGGCCCAACCACTAAAGTCCATGAGCCCCAAATCATCTCGTTGAGCCACTAGGAACTGATATTACTTCAAAGGACCTGATATACCTACCTGTAACTATACCCAGCTCCAAAACATATTAATTTATGCTCATTTATCACGGATAGAAAGTTCTTGAGTTTCAATTCTAACAATGATGATTGAAACAATCTTATACTAACACCTAAGGAGTTTTTGTGGGCCGATTCGATTTGAATCAAGGTTTACCTAAACTGATTCGGCTAAAATCATCTTAATCGTCTCAGGAGGTGGTTAGGCGATTAGATTAGACTTTTTAAAGATGATGGAATGTGGAATAATTTAAAATAATAATAATCAAGATGACTTTCTTTTGTTGTCAGCGGATATCAAACTTCGCATTTGTAGACCACTGCTAATCGAAATTGCCACAAATCGTATTAGCAAATCGAAACCAAATCAAATCCGCCGACAAAAACAAAAACAATGTATATAAAAAATGCCCGATAAACAGATCTCAAAGAGGACGTATCTGACAACATGTTAAATCGGGTTTCCCATGTTTCCACTAATAAACGACTATCAGAATCAGCATTGGTATCTGTGTCACAACAATAGTCTAACATGCATTTGAAGGCCATCGTTCGCAATTTTGGCGGTTGATTTCGGCCTTGAATATACAATGTATGTAAATAGTCAGAAGTACTAAAATGTAGTAAAATCGCATAATTCCTTTAAAAATATCTCAAATGCCATAGGAACTTCATTTTTTCTATTTCTATATTATGACAGAGTCTCAAGAAACGACAAGTCGCCATTTTAATTCCGGACACAAATGGATTTGGAGGTTCAAATTCCGACGAGACTTAGGTACAATATTAGTCAAACGGGTGGCAAACTTGGCCTTTTAACAAAGTTATTCCATTTTCCAGATTTTGTTGTCAGTTATATTTGGTTGGATCTTGAGTGTAATATTGACCTACGCTGGAGTATTATCGTCTGATCCTACCAGTACGGGGTATTATGCTAGAACAGACGCAAGAAATGAGATTTTATCCAGAAATCCCTGGTTTTTCTTCCCATATCCATGTAAGCAGAGTTTTCAAATGAAGTTGACATAATCAAATGCATTTTCAGAAAAGAACACGTCCACTTGAACAGTGTGTCTTGCATCTTAGGAGCTTCTTGCCAAGATCTTCTGTAAATCTTCCTGTGACAGGGAGCTGAATGGTATCAGCTAAACTGGATCCCTATAGTGTTTGCTTATCGCTATCAATGAGAAGCTTTAGATGCAATGGCGGACTAGTTTAGGTATCAGCTACCATACAGTTGCAATATATTAACTGTCGACTGCGACGACCAAATGCTCTGAATCACAGGATTACTTGAGGTAATCTCGATAAGGATTATATATAAAAAAAATCCACGGATACATCGCCTACATAGTAATTTCATAATTGTACATTTTAGGTCAGTTTTCAATGCCTCAGTTCGATGCTTCAGCGTTTGCTGGGGCAATGGTGGCTACGATAATGTCAATTGTGGATTCTATATGCGATTACAATGCTTGTGCCAGGATATGTTACGTTCCTTTCCCACCTTCACATGCATTAAATCGTGGAATATTCTGGGAAGGTCTGATGAGTTTCTTTGCTGGAATAACTGGTTGTGGACATGGTACCAATTCTTATGGTGGTAATATAGGAGCTATTGGAATATCCAAAGTAAACTTTTGTTCCTGTAGCAATACAGGACTACTACCTCTTAGAATAGACATTAAATATAAAGTTTCAAACTTGGTCAGCAAGCGTATATATTCACCAAATGGACTTGACTGAAGAATAGAATCTCTAACCATATGCATTGAACTAAATAATTATTGAAACATGCTTCTTAGCTCAACAGTGCTCAATGCATCAATTGCAGAGCGATACCATTGGGTTATAGAGGGATTAATGTGTATAGTTTTAACACCAGAGAAGTCCTCTGATGAAATCGTTTTGGCCAAGTTTTAAAATTTCAATTGTTATCATCCTGAAACGTAGTAGACCTTTAAACATTTTTATGTGTCTACATGTATATTAAAAGTCACAAATACGCCAAAAGGAATTCATAAAACTTAGTTGAAATGTTAAGCAAAAGACTCAAAGGCACTCTTTATATGTGGCTGGATCTAAGGTTTTTTTTCAGGCTGGCAGTCGGCTGATACTACAAGGATGTGGGGTGATCTATATATTGTTTGCTGTATTAGGAAAGTTGAATGCTGCGTTTATCACCATTCCCTATAGTGTCCTTGGAGGAACTATGATAATAAATTTTGGAATATTTTTTGGAGTCATTTTGTCACAGTTACAGTTTGTGAATTTGAATGACACGAGAAATCTTGCAATATTAGGAATCAGTGTGTTAGTGGGATTCATGCTACCTCATTGGGTAGAAAAACGACCTGATGGCTTAAATACCGGTAAGAATTTTATTGATATCAATAAATCTTCAGGCGGAGGGTCGAGAAAATGTAGCACGAGAATGGCATATCGCCGTGATCATCGGGCATTAATAATAAGTAATATGAAAAATCCAGCCTACATATCCATTCACCATATTTTTGGGTTCTTATTCAATATTTTCTTGGGCCTCATGATCCAATTAAGGCGAGATGTTCGTATGAGAGAAATCGATGTGTGATATTGTAATTATTTTATATGGCGATGACTCAACTTTAAGATAGCCATGGGCTGATATCTCAACATGCTTTTCTATTTGTTGATTTATATTCCAATAGGCTTTTCTATGTGTTGGTTTATAATTCCAATATTCGTTTCTAGGTATTGAAGGATTAGACAGAACTCTTACTATGTTAGCAGCCAATGGTGTATTTGTGGCAGGATTCGTAGCTTGTTTTCTAGATAACACAGTTTCAGGTAGGGACTGAATATCCCCATTTAGATTTGTTGGAGTCAATTTCTAGGTATGCAAGTGTTACTGCCCATAGTAGGAGGAAAATGGTAAAATGTATTTATCATAAGCCTCGAACGGCGAGATATGTTTCAAAATGGGTATGTCATAATGTCGCTTTGCGCATTGTTTACAGTGTTGTAAAAGCTTTCTCTACCCGAGAAATTTATGATCAAGTAATGTCGTAAAAACAAGATTCAAGAGAATACAATGAACTTACCGATTCTTCGGTTCATCACTGCGTTGCTGTGTCCAAAATTCACACTTTAAAAATAGGCCCATCTTGCTTGGTAAACCATTACGTGTATATTATGACGTAACTTCCATGTAGACCATGCTATTTTGTAATAGGGTTGAGGGGGTGCATTCGATCGGCTGTATTTGGTAGTTTCGAAATCATGCACAAACCTATCACCCCTATGAAAGTAATATCGTCCACAAAACAAGATGTCGAATATTACGCCACTCCAATGGAATACCCTCTTACAGTTGTTAGCTAAGTGCCGACAGAAAAATACCAAATCTTCTGACGAATCTTCTTTCTCCATATAAAAGGTAGCAGAGAATCTCGTGGACTGGAGGCACAACTTGGAGGTGAAGATACTGTTGGGAAACCACTAGAGTTTTTAGAAGGGAAGGAAGTGTACGATATTCCATGGTTACCAAAATGGTTTAAAAATTCAACTTTAGCTAGAATAAGTCCCATGCTACCAAATTATACAGAAAGCGATGAGGACGAAGAACAAATAAAGAAGAAATAAATATAATATTTTTTTACCATAATATTTTTTTAAACTGAGTTTTGCCGGAATTAGGCAAATATGTTGACTAAATGGCAGAGTTGACCACAAAGCGAAAATAAGGCAGCCAATTTCAAAGGAGCTGCTCTTGATCAAAAATGAATTTCCCTTCTCTGCTATTATGAATTCTGTCTGCATCTACTATCTTTTCAGCACACATAGAACATGTTCTGAACTCTGTTTCAATTTGTTTTATTGATCATTCTATTGATTCCATAAATCATGAACCTGAAGAACTCAACAATTGAGCATTCCCTTGTCATATTTAACAACAAGCTGGGAGATTGAAGTTTATTGGTAAAACTAAGACAAATTACTAGATTATGATGAACCAAAATGTACAAGAATTAAAGTCTATGTCTTACAAATTTGCCTATGTAACCAAAACGATCAACAGTCTTGAGAAATTTGAAAATTTATCATTTTGAATACCTTATTAATTTGTATCGTTCATAAATGCGTCAATTTTAGGTTTATTTACAAAATTATAACAAAAACATTAAATAAATTTACAACTTTTATTTTATTTTACACTTCATTTTTTGATGTTGAATTTTATACAAACATTTCACCACAGGAATTCTACTGATTCCACTTATTACACCGGTCTTGTCTAACAGTGGCTTCACAATGACACATTATCTGATTAGGTTATGTTTGGTTTTAGCTTTTGGATGTTTTGTTGTACAAAATTTGTACCTTTTTGTAAAGTTCCATTTTGTACATGGTCCCCTTTCTTATACTGAAACTCATTTCATTTCATCTAAACTACACCTTCACACCATGGAGTTTTTGTATGTATACACATATTAGACACATCAAGTTAATTTTGTTTAGCAGATTCCCAACTATAGTACATAGTGGAGAAATAGCTGCACATCTAATTTGTGAACACATTGTTATGTTAGGTAACGAATGTACCACACTGAATACTGTCCCAGAACACACTTTGCTTTCATATTATTTGACTAGACCTAGTTTTTTGGCCTCTGTTTCATAGACTAATAACCTCCACATTTTGACCACAAACACTTCTGCTTCTTCATCTAGAACCTGCAATATAGAGATAACACTGTCTAAAATATGCATTACCAATGTAAGCTATCCGTATCACTTTTTAAAATGCAAAATTCTCATTTGATACAACAAAAACATACTGTTGAAGTTTTCACTTGTCATTATTGACATGGTCCATTGTGAACAATGACATAATTGTTTCAATTTCTGGGCATAGAACCCTTTTTTTTTTAGTTCATTCTTTGACCCCTCAGAAAATATCATGAATACCCCACTAAAGCTTACCATAGCTACATCATTTTGAATACTGGCTGGTGTACTACGCGCTATCACTTTTTGACAAATAAAATCTGTTAATGTCGGTTCTTCTTCACCAATATATTCTACGATCTTTTTATTTATCCATGGTTTTATACGCTTGTCCATCAATGCCTGAAATATAAATAATAAAAATATTTAATTATATTTAGTAATCACACGAAGAAAACTGCATACACTTGAGCGGCAAACAGAATTTCTGAAATCCAACAGTTGACAAAATTCAAAGCAATTGACTTCTATAGGTGGTGCTCATTTAACAGGTTTTGCACAGGTCTTCAATAATAACATAGCCCTAGGCCGTACCTGATCAACTATAGTCCAGTCTAAAGAGAAAGCAAATAATTCTTCTTTAGCTGTAGGTATACTGTCTATTAAGATCTTAATTTTATTTCGTTTTTCTTCAGCCACATTGCCTGGTTTCTTCTCTTCATCATAATCTAGAGGTACTAATTTACGTTTCTTAGATTCTGAACTATCTTCATCTTGATTAAATACATCTCCTACTGTTAATTTTTTACGTTTTGATGATGGTGCTGAGACTTCAGCTGGACTATTTGTGTTACTAGTTCCAGAGCCTGAAAAAATAAGACAAAAGTCAAATAACAAAAGATCTTAAAGATGGGTTCCCTTATTTTCATTTATGAAAATAAAGATGCTTATATGAATAGAAAGTAGAGATGTTCTAATGACTTGGAAAATACCAGTTTGTCTCACATGTCCATAATTAATTCATAATAAGCTAAATTAGAAGAGAATTATCAACAGAATTCCAATGAGTGACTGATCCAAAAAGGTCAAAAAGTCTTTTTTTGATTTATCCAGACTGTACATACATGGACATTTAATTATATGCAATAAGAACAATGATATGATTAAGAATAAATGAAAATTCGTTATAAACACCATTTGATCAAATAGTTTGTCTAATTTGACACTAAAAAGTCAGAAAACCCATCTTTAAGAAGAAAAAAATCCACATCATTGAAATGAGTGCAAAAGCTGGATCAGTCAATATGAAAATGACAGACAAAATCCGGTGTAAGCATAAGCACTTTCTTTTAGGAATATTACATTCAATATGAACACAATCATATTCATTCTTACCTAATTTCATGCCACTAAAACTATGTTTTGAAGATTCAGATTTTTCTTGTTTGTTGTTAGAATAAGTCGGTTGTTGACTATCTTCTGATACTATATCATTATCTAAACTATACATAGTGTTATCTTCATCATCTGATAGAGGACTGGGGGCAAGATTCACTGGATTACTGGTACTAGCTGGTATTGCATCTGGTATAGGTTTCATAGTCTTTTTCATTACACCTTTATCAGAGTCTGAAGAGTCTTTACGTTCTGGACTACTTGCAGGGGAGATCACTACTTCTTCTATTTGTAATCGTGGTTTTAAATGCTCTTCTCTTTCTTTCTCAATCTGAAATGAATTCAGAAGTTTTTTCTCAAGTATAAATATATTTGTTCAATGGCAAGAACGAGTTGTATTCTTAATAAAAGAAATTCAAGTATGGAAAAGACTTTTACTGAATTTCAATGATCTTTGCATGCCATAAATTTCAACATTGGATCTATATGGGAACTTAGATTGAGCATAAAATGATCCACCTACCCTAGCTAGTTCAGCTTCTGGATCAGGATGGCCTTCATCCATAAGTCTTCTTTTGATTTCTTCAAATTCTTCTTTTTCTCTCTGTCTATCTCTGGCATCTGCTTCCTTTTCTTTTTCTCTTTCTTTCATACGCCGAGATAAGGCACTACCCCTAAAAGTCAAAAATTTATGACAATGAAATTCACAATGATGGTCACCAATTGACCTTGACCGCGTAGTCATCTTCACAACATCAAGCTATTACATGCTTCTTCGTATGTCTTGACTGTGGAGAGCTATGATTGGCTTTATTTGCTTGCTTTCAATCTAATCATATCATTGCATTCAGCTATTAAAAAAAAAGTGCCTATAGCAGTCAAGGTATAAGTTTGCAACAGCTTGACATGGTGAAGATGCCACAAAGACTAAGTCCACAAACCAACTAGATGTTGACTAATGTATTCATAACAAAATCAACCCATGGGATCTTTACACTGTATAGTCAGATAATTAAAAAAATGTATTCAACCTACTTGAAAAATTTGGGATCATCCCTGAGATCATCATAATCTTCTAAAAATTCTTTCAATCTTCGAGCTTCTCTTATTTCATCTGTTTTCCTTTCTTCTTCTCTCTCTCTTTCTTTATCATTTTCTCTAGCCTTCTTTCTCTCTCGACCTTCCCAGTTCGTCAATCTCTGGCAAAAAAAAAAGTCTTAGTTCATTATCATTTTCTACCTACTATCCTAGGTATATACAAGTTGTTTTGCTTCTCTTTTGCAGGATAATGTAAACTAGCATGTCAAAAAACATCTCTGTTTTCCCCTTGGTCCAATGTATAAAAGCAAGCAATATGGTGAAAAATGTCTTGTCTGGTAAAATTTGATCTTAAAACTGATTAAAAGCTATAAAATTACACCAATGTATACTAAGATTTCCATAAAATTCAAAGGCCAACCTCTTTATATGCTGCTTCTTTCTCTCTTAATTTTTTCTCTAACTTCCGTCTTTCTTTCTCTTCTTCTTCCTCTTCTAGCTCTTGTTCTTTTCTCCTAAAATGATCAGTATTCTCATTATTTGATGAGCACAGATTGAAAACTGAATTAATTTACTTTTCAAGTTACAAACAATACTTTGAACATTAATTTACATGCCCTCTAAAATACAAGTACCAGAGATATAAGTGACCACTCAATTTATTTCCAGAACTTTTGGGAAGAGTAGGCAGCAAAGCCTTTCGAGCTCCTTATCCGCAAAAGAAATGAATCTGCAACCCATTCCATTTCTGGAATTCCTGGAAGTTTTACATCTCTGATGTACTTTCTAAAATACGTACTGATAATTATGCAAATAGTCATTCAGATCATATGATTTTACCTTGACCGGTCTGATCTGTCAGGTGTTCGACTACGTTCTCGAGTTCTCTCCCTTTCATTGCGTCTGTTATAATTACGATTTCTGTTAGGTGGAGTTCTTGAACGACTTCTAGTAGAAGAATGACGATCATTCCTTCTTTTATCAACAATTCTTTCTTCCCTTCTGTCATCTCTTCGACTCATTTCTTTTTCTCGTAATCTCTCCCTCTCTCTGTCTCTCCGTCGACGAGCATCTTCATTCCTCCTTTCTTGTTCTCTTCTTTCTTTTTCTTCATCCACCTCCTCATCCTAAAATTGATAATCAGCTCACAAAATCAAAACTTTGACAAAATTTATAAACACATCCAAACAACTGGCATATTTTGAGTGCAATTTTGTTTCTTTCTGGACAAAACATAACAAATACTCAAACAAAATTTTTTTTTGTATTTGGTTTTCACCAAATAAGAAATAGTAAGGCCAAATATCAACTTTATTTCCATTTTTCAGATTGATGCCAATGCAGATGTCAAATTTTTAAAGAAAATTTTGCTCCAAAAATGATGCCAACAACATATATCCACAATGTCACGTAGATTAAATAAGTTTTCATTTTGTACTTCTCTGCTCGAAATAACACTGGTCAAATCCTTCATTCTCCTTTTGGAAGTCAATTGGTGGCCTACTTAAAGGCTGAATCCCATCAAAAACAGGCTGTTAACGACATAAAAATACAATGTTTTATGATTTCCCCTTTCCCAGCCCAAATTATTATGGTCAAAGTCATTTGTTAGTCAATGCAACTTGGTTATGTTAGTTGTCCAAATATGTCAAAATGAATTATAAAAACACTATTGTAGTCTTTAAATTTATAGAATATTTTTGGTCTTATTTCAAAAAATGTATTGTGTGCATCAAATTTGCCGCACCAGAAAATTCTGGACTGTTTCTTTCAAATTAACTTTCTATATTTTCTAGGGTTTAATTTGTCCTTTGTAAATCACTCAAATGCATCTTGATGCACCACTATTTGATTTGTTCTTTACCAAAAAGTATGACTTAAACTGACAACCCTGCTATAAACTAAATGATATGGTGTGTTATCTAAACTGTGTTCAAAAAATTCTTTCAAAATTAAGAAAATGTATCCACTATCATTTGATACTGTGGAGTGTATATTCAGTTCAGACCAATCTGAAGGTCAAACCTCCAAAATAACAGAATAAAAGCAATAAAGAGTATAAATTGAAGGTGTGAATTTGTGTCATAGCCTACTGTATGTTCACAGCATGCTATAGCAAGTTAAAACAGTCTTGCAAATATCAGAATAAGCTTCCAATATCTTCAATATATAAACCACATATACAATAGAACTGTCTGTAAAAAAAAGTTTAAAGTAGTCACCCACTCACCTCCAAAAGATTAAAAACTGGATTCCTCTTTGGGACTAACCGTTACAGAAAGTTAACATAGGGGCACTAACCTGGTGATTTTTTGGTATACTTGACACGAAGGAATACTTAAGTATGTTTTAAAATTGCAGTACCAATATAGTTTTGATTTCATAAGTAACAAATTTTTAAACTTCATTATTGTACCAAACTCTTTCCAAAATATCTAAAATTTCACTATTATAAATATTCCAATTTCATTATTATAAATATTTCAATTTCATTATCATTCCAAAATATTTCAATTTCATTATTATGCCAAAATATTTGATTTCATTATAATGCCAAAATATTTCAATTTCATTATTATGCCAAAATATTTCAACAAATTATTTCAATTTCATTATTATGCCAAAATATTTCAAGAAAATATTCATATTCCATTAATATGCGAAGATATCTCAATTTTATCTTTATAAATTTCATTATTAGGCCTGAAAATTGAATTTGATGGTTCTACTAAGGTATTTTTTTTTTTTCAAATATTTTGCCGATTTAACCTGTTTCTAGGATTTAAAGATTTAAACGACATCCTTTAGAATTGAATTGATTGAATCTTGTGAAGACTTTACAAAAATTAATTAGGCTAATTTTGACATTAAGTTTGAATTCCACCACATTTAATACTTACAACTATATTCTCTACCCCAAATCTAAAATTCATCATTTGCGAGCGACACTGTAACGATGTCATATTATACAATACATTTGTAAACACTCACCACCTTTTAAATTTAATTCTTTGTCATGAATTTTTGACAGCCTTTCTGTTCAGACAACAGCTTGATGCATAGTATTTGGAATCTAGTAGATTTGGGGGTAACGAAATATAACCTATTAATTTCACGTCATAAAACAACAATTCAAAAAAATTCTCGACACAAGTTTTAAAATTCTCATGTCCAATTAGTGGCAACTAAGCAAATTAGGAGAAAAGCTAAAAAAATATTCTGAAAGAAAGGAAGCTTTTTAAATTTCTTTGTCCAATTTCAGTGAAGTTCAGCTAAGTATAAAACCTAGAGACATGTGAATGGGTATCATTTACCCCTGAAAGACATTTAAGACAAATTGAAGCATATTGCAAAATGTATTTTAACGGTTTCTAAATCTACTTCATCAACCAGTTAATCTTAGCAGTCTTAAAGATCCATTTGAAAATTTGAAGATTTGAAAATTAATCAAAATGTATATCTTTTATTTGACTTTGAAAAAGAAAATTTATCAAAAATTCATACTTCATTATGATATCAAGGAAGCTTTTGCTAAGTTTAACTATTTCATGAAGCTATTTTTTCCAAGTAAAATAAAGTATAAATTACCTTGTGCAGGTCTCTAAATGAACGGATTTCACGATTTATTATAAATTTAGTTTCTTCTTCAACTTCTAAACCATCCAGACCCTATAATAAAATCATCTAAGATAAAGTCACTATGAATTGGTGATTTTCTTTCTTTCTTAAACATAGTCAGAGACTTAAGGTTTTCCTATATTTGACTTCAGAGAAACAACCAGTTAGTGTTATGGTGCTTTATACAATAAAATAATATATTTTCACTGTTAAAATGGTACTGAATACATCAATTGTAGAGTAATTTATATAATGTTTGTATTGACCATCACTGACAACCCATGTAAAATATCTTTACTTCTGTATGATAACTTGCAAATTTTTTGAAAAGTTTATGTCATAGAAATTTTAATAACATTTTACATAGATAGTATAACTACTGGTACATGAAAAGAAGAAAAAATAAAAGCCAGGTTTAAACTTAAAACAGTATCTTACCACATCCTTAACATCTTTTCCTTCTTTTATCATCTGGATTTTCTGGGGTTTAGGTTCTTCTTCTACAATGATAAGTTAATAGTGAAGTATTAATTCTAATAAGTTTGTTTATCAAAGTAACCTGTTTGCTTCCTAATGACCTTGTAAAAATTATGCAATTTCTTATAATTTAAGTGTTCTGGTAACAAGCAAATTGTCATCTTACTGTTAAATGTAAGAGGATATTGCTATTCTAGGGCCATTATAATATCACTTACTAGGTGCAGCAGCAATAGCTTTATTCATTTCTTCTGAATATTCCATCATTATAGCTTCTAACCCTGCAGTAGCTACACGATCTTCACGCTTAGTGAACTCATCTAATTCATCTAAACTTGGATCATCATCTCTTATTTCTCCATTTTCTTTCTCTCCATTTTCTTCTTCTTTCCTTTCCTTTTCTTTCTTCTCCTCAGCAGATGTAGCATCAGCTTTTTTCTTACTTCTGTAGTCATCTAGTAACGTCTTTGTTTTAGCATCTACTTTGACCTGAAATTCAGAAATATATTTTCAAATTAAACATATTTTACTTTTGTCCCTTTCCCATCATTATCAACATCATCACAAGTAGTTATGATGTAAAATCTGAACATTAAAATATTAATCAAATTTGGGATAGATAAGTCTTATTTGACACAGTATAATTGCAAGATAACCAAAAACTGGATTTTAATTCTAAAAAGCGTTATGTATAGCTATCCTTCTGATCTATTGATTGTCTAAAAAGAAGCATGCATATATAAAATGGTAACAAAATTCTAAAATCAATTAGTAGCAGACGACTTAAACTGCTCTCCTAAATGTTATTTCCTTGCGTACCATTACAAGATAAATCTTATACTAGCTAAATACTTACAACTAGCTTTTTATCTGGTATATACCAATCATTTAATAATCTAATACATCTCAATGTGGCTTCGGGATCTTCATATTCACAAAATCCAAATGCTACAATTTAAAAACATGATCATGCTCAAACTTAAGATTTAGGTGAATGGATGTTTTCAGAAGGCAATTCACAAATGATGAGGATTACAAACGATATGTGGTTTTGAATACGAATGAGGCTTTGCCAATATCTATCATTGGTTTGATATACATAAAATATTGTATCCTAATTTTGAACATATTCTTGATATGGAAACTGGGAGAAATAAAATGATATTACCTTGAAGTTTGCCTGAGGCTCCCTGAACTCTCTTCCAACTCAAAACATTACCACATCTCTGTAACATTAAGGACTTATTTCAATAAAGATAACATAACAATCTGTGGAGATGCCTGCATAAATCTAGGTTTATTTTGCCAAAAACATTTAAAACTGTAGCACTGTCAGACTATGTTCCAGCTTAAGGTTCAAGATCAAAATTTTGCAGACAACCTGCCTATAAATCTGATGACAATTTCACTGGACATTCCACAAAGCAAAGCCTGTATCAAAAATTAAATTAATTGATTCAAGAATTTACCTGTAACATTTGTTTGATCATTACATCAGGAGCTTTATCACTAATGTTACCAACAAATACTGTTGTTACTGGGGGCTTCTCATCCTTGGAATCCTGCAATTATAAAAAAAATCTTCAGCAATACCTGTAAAATGTTAACTAGATATGAGAATTTAAAGGTAAAAACAGGCCGAAGTGAGACAAACATTAATACTTTAAACGGCTCTTGTAGACATTTTAATCAATAACACTTTGTAACTAATATAATATTAGAGATACTTAGTCAAATAATAAGCTCTTATTTACCTTTGGAATTTCTTGTGGTACTAACTTTTTAGGTTGTTTCTGTGAATTTACCACAGGTCTTATCATCTGAAGGAATAACCCAACAAAAAAATTCTTCTAATAAACAATAGAATTATTACAAAGTCTCCATGACAACTCATTTTTCAATCACATACCTCTATTTTTACCACTGCATTATATCGAATCTTATAAATTGGATAATAGTTGTATAGCTTTCAAAACAAGTTGCAGATCTGTCAGCTGATCTTTTAAATAGTTAATTTACTGGCTCAGCATACAAAAAATTTTCAAGGGAAAATAACTTACTGTGGGTGAAGGTGCTGCCATCATCCTCATACCCATTGGAACCATACCTAAATATAAAGTCTAGAAGTTAGTATTTTTAATCAATTTTACTTCCATGAGAATTTCATAATCAAGAGCCCTTGAAATATAATATTAAATTTCTATTACAAATTATTTTTTCTGAAGAGCAAGGGGTTTCTTACCCATTGGTGCATAGTATGTTCCTGTTACCATTGGGGCCATACCCATGGGTGGTCGAGGTGGGAATGACATTTTGTTTGTTCTCACTTCAATCAATCTTTAATCTGAAATTTTATAAAAGAGAATTATATAATGCAAAACGATGTAAGTCACAGTTGTTATCAAAAGCACAGTTGCTGGAAGTTGTCAGTCTTTATGTACAGCAGACCTAAAAGTTAAAAGAACCACCCATCTTTCCATTGAATTTCCAGATTTATTTTTCACTCTAACACTTCTGTTATAATCAATAATTCTTAAATTGCTGGCGTTTTCATCAACCAAGAGACAACCCAAGACTTCCAGCAGTATTTTGGAGTAGATATTTCAATTTATACAGAAATTATTGTCAAAATGCGATTCTGTAAACATTGTGGTGTAGTTACATTCCCAACCGGAAGTTGAAAACATGCTATTTCAGCAAATTTTAAACAAGAAAACGACATATTCTGGGCTGGATAATACATTTTTATCTAAAAACTACCTACTTTGATGTCAATATTGCTGATTACTGCATAATTGAAATGAAAGCTTGGATGTGTTACGGGTAATATTATATTTTCTTCTCTGCAAAGTTTCCTCTCAATACACAAATGGCGGCTTGTTGTTGACGTCACGCGCATTGTCACGTGATATATTACAAAGGGAGATAACGAATTTAGAAAACAGAGACATCAAATTAAATTAAAGATCAAAGTCCAATTCAAACCTGTATTTTTTGGTTGAAAAGTGTCAGTATGATATTTTTGGACTGTTAAAATGATAGATAAGTGACGTTTGTGCAGGCAAATTTTCAAACCCGTTGATGTCAATTCCCATTCATCTTTTCTTGCATGAATAGGCTCACTTGAATTATTAATGATTATTGATCGTGCTCATTAAATACTAATTCAATAGTGCATCGGATAGCTAAGTAGCCTACAGCACAATTGAAATTTATTACAGGATAGATACGTTGACAAAATGGCTTCTACAATATTCAGAAATAACTTGAGAATACAGAAGAGTTTTCAGTTTAACAAATTATTCACATCATCATCAGCAAAAGGTCAAAGTTTGGTGACAAGAAATAGAATACCGGTAGTTGAAAAACCTGTAAGAAAAAATACTAATTCTGTCTTTAATAAAGGATCTGTGACCTCTCATCAAACCTATTTCTACTCTCAGGTATGTTATTTATAATTGATCACATGTGTAGACATTGACTCTTTTCCTGCCAATTTCTCCAACATGTTTTATTTACAAGAGGGGTAACTTGAAAAAAATTAGAGCTAGCAATTATTTTGCAAATAGATCCAGTTTTCTCAAACTGTTTCATTTACTAGGGGTAATTTTGTTGAAGAGTCTAATACATATTTTCAATTTCAGAGCATAAAGTTGTCATCATTGTTCTTCTTGATTATGGGAATATACATAAATTAGAAAAAATTGTAATCTGCAGCTTCAGTTGGATATTTCTTGTATACACAGCAAAATCAAGAACTCTGCCCACAAAGATTTAGGGATCTGAAGAGCTGTGGATGTTTGCACTAAATTCACACTTAGTGCACACTTAGTGCAGCTCCAAATTTCAAAATGGAAGATAATAAGATACAATTTTTGCATTTGGTTTTAGCATAAAAGCCAAGTAAAAAATACTGGTATATCTGAGAGTAAAATTATCAAAGATGGTAAACTGGTGGAGATTTTCTGGAATGATGGAAAGAAATCTAAGTCAGTAGCCTAAAATTCTCTAAGTATTGACATTGCTAATAGCTGCACATATATCGTCAAGCCTTTTGGAGACATTTTTTTTTTAAGATAAACAGGCTCCTGCTACCGATCTTAGGACTGTGAATATGGAAGACCGAAGAGCCCAAGAACGAAAAATATCAAAAATGAGCAACAAATGAAGGAGTATGAATTAAGCATTACAGATTAAGGATTAAGGATCAAGACATCTTAATATTGGGCTGTTTGGTCTTCCATATATGAAGAGTTTTTATATCTATTGGGGACACTGATAAAATTGATTTGTACCATTCAAACTTTCAATCAGACGTCTGTAGTTCTTCAAACAAAAAAAAGCCAGGGGTATATTGATCCTGATTTTCAAAATCTGAATAAGTGATCTACTTTATCTGAGCCTTGATGATCATGTGTTATGGATCTTTTCAGTTTCCATAGTATATGGTTAAGATATAATTGTCAATGTTCAAACTGTACACAACCAGGCAGTGGGCAGAAAAAAATAGATAATACTCAGATAGCTCATGATATTCTTCTAGAATCTGTTGATATTCAAGGTATGTACTAGTTCTTATTCTGTATTTGATTACATCCAATCTAGTGCTGTATTTTAATTCATCACAATGCAGTTATTGTGGACTTCGACTATTGCTTGGAAGGTAAAATACAGATAAGCTTGATGGTGCTAGAGAAAATCTTGCCAGGAAAAGTTCATCTCGAAGCTAATGAAACTTGTAAATGCTATTACTTCATGTAGATTTTTGCAACTTCTGCTCTACAAATTGGCTACAATATCACCTACAATATATTGAAATTCATCAACAAGAGCAGTCATTTTGACTTGATTGTTCTGATTTATCACAGATAATAAGGTATATTTATGAAAGAATTTTATTTCATGATGGTTTATTACAGATAATAAGGTATGTTTGTGAAAGAATTTTATTTGACAATGGTTTATTACAGATGATATGGTATATTTGAAATGGAAGGGTGAGATAGAGCACCAGGGACAAGTTAGTTTGGACTACCTGAATGAGAATAGTTATTCAGAAGCAGATATCATCAGAAGGCATTCTGCAGTCAGAATGACTAAATTAGCTAAGGTACTGTACATAAAAAGATTGCCCTGAAATTTTTCTGACATAAAAAAGTGCCATTGTACCAAGATTTGCTAGCTAGTTGAACATGATCTTTAATATGGCTTATTGTGTCGATAGAACACACTTCTATGAGACTTTTTCTACATTTGAGGATACCCACTCTCAAATTTTCGCATACTGAAATTTCCCAAAAGTCTGTATGTATGTTCCAAGCTCTATATTCTACAGAACTATTATCTCTTTCAAGATAATGAATGGATTTTTGATTTTGTAAAAATTTTTGAAGGAAATTCCAGTAGTAAACTATACAGATGTTATAAACAGTAAAGAAGCTGTATATAACTGGCTATATCAGATTAATGAATATGGTCTATGTTTAATGAAAGATGTCCCTACCGAAGAAAAGGCTTTTATATCTGTAAGTGAGTATAAGATAGTATTTCACACAAATTACTAAAATTCTCAACCATATATGACTTCACTATTGCAAAAGTTACTAGAGATACCCGAGGGTCTTTGCACTAGCTATGTCATAAAGCACTTGGTTTTTCGTGAAGTTGCAAGAGCTTGAAATGAAAAAAAAAATAGTTCATATCCTGTCATATACTTTACCATTTATTTTAGCTTGCCAATAAAATTGGACCAATACAAGAAACTAACTATGGAAAGGTAAATCATTTTCATATCAAGTTTGCAATGAGGGAAATTTTGCCAGGACAGCAGCATTAGCCTACTCTTTTCCTATTTCAAATTGTCAAGTGATCTTTATCCAAAATGTCCTAGACCAAAGACATCATTCTTTGGCATCATATCAGAGAAATTGGTTTTTAGAGCATTATCACCCTTTAGATCTCAAGAACTTTTTATTTTCTCCAGACATTTTCTGTCAAGTCGGAACCAAACCCGGTAAATATTGCCTATAGTACAGAAGAATTAACTCTACATATGGATTTAGTTTATTTAGAATCACCACCTGGTTTACAATTGTTACATTGTTTAAGGTAATTCTGATTTTATACTTGACCACAAAACAATTTATCAGCAATCAAGCCTTATTCTTAGCTGAGCTAAGTGGAGACATTTTCTAGTAACTTTAATTCCATTGGCATAAGCCAAGTAATAGGTTTAAATATTCATGTGTTTGCTTTTTTAATTCCACATTTTTTGGCATATTTATCTGAGTACAAGTTACCTATAAAATCTGGGTTGTCTCCCTTTAGTGTTCAGTTTTGCTCTAAATTTGTACAGATTTGATGATGAAGTAAAAGGCGGTAAAAGTACTTATCTAGATGTTTTCCATGTTGTTGAACAGTTTAAAGTGTCACATCCAGAATCTTTCCAGATTTTAACGCAGATTCCAGCAACATTTCAGAAATGTCATTATGAAAGGTAAATACAAAGAATTTTTCAATTACTGGTACTAAGCCAGGTAAAGAGAATCTTTTTCTGGTAAATTATACCTGCAAACTTCTAAAAAAATAACTTTTAATTTAGGGACAACATTTGATTAATGTTATTTGAAAGTACTTCCTGTTTTTATTTGTTGTTACCAGTCTGTGTAACATATTACATAAGGCCAGTCAGCTAAACTGTTAATGGTGGATCAGAACCAAATCTCATAGGTGTTGACCATCAATTGAAAATCTAACAAATCCTTGTTTTTTCATTTCAGAGAAAATCCATTCCATTTAGTTTATCAGAAGCCCCATATTACTCTAAACGATTATAAAGAGGTAAACATATTTGAAAACTTATTCTTTAAGCACTGGGTTCCCAACCTCTGGGCCACGCAGCATTTTGATAATGATTTTGAAAATTGAGTAAAACCTAAAGCTTTGTTTTCACTTTGAAGGGTCGCGATCTGATGCCTGTTTCTGAAACGGGGTCAGTACATGAAAAAGGTTGGGAACCTTGGCTTTAAGCATGTAACATAAATTTTTTCTTCGTGCCTTTTCATGCAACTTTAATTTGAGTAAGCAGTTGAATTCTTCATTGGGTCCCAATTCATCAGTGAAAGTTTTGTTGCTCTGACACGTAAAATAGGAACAAATGTACATAAGGGAAAGAATTAAAGTGTTTCAGTCATGAAAATACATTGTAAATTGGAAATCAGTCAGTGTTGTTGCTTCCCAACAATCTAATCAAAAAGTGCAGATTTATGATTAATTTCTTATATTTTAGGTGATAGGTGTTCATTGGGCACCTCCTTTTGAGGGTCCGTTACTTGTGGAAGAGGTATGGTCAAACCTATATATCTTGGTTTAGATTTAAGTGTATGAATTACATCCAAAATAATGATAAAAACTTCGCTTTCAAATTCAAAATAATACTGAAACTGTAGACTGTACATTTTGATTGTAAATATACTCTGTTACACACTATGAAAATAGAAAACATAGCAACATACCTTTTGGAATTCCACTCATACAATTCATTTGATTTGTTACAGAAAAATGTGGAAAAATATTACAAAGCCTATAAAGATTTAGCTCAAGCTATCCATAATTCTGATAATTTGGTAGGTTATTTCAATATTAAATTCATAGTTTATCATCATGTAAGGGTGGTGGGTTAAAGGCAAACTCCTTGCCTTAAATTCTGATCAAGACATCTTGTTATTCAATCCTATTTCACCTTCTTTGAATGTAGCTCTGAATTAATTGCAAAACTTGGGCAAATATTAACCATAGGCAGGCAGGCATTGGAATAATTTGACTTTTTCTATCTTAAAGGTGATTCAGGTCTCAAAATATTAGATTGTTAGCTGATAGAAACTCCATTTCACCAGTCTGTAGTACTTGGCCGTAAGCACCAAGAAGAGAAGTTTAATCTTCTACAGTAGATTTTTCAGTTTGTAAAGCAAATATTTAGCTGTTTTCTGGTTTTTTTTTAGTTAACATATTTGATGAAACCCGGTGATTTGATGACATTTAATAATCATAGAATGTTACATGGCAGAGGTGAAATTCATTTAAATGGTGGAATTCGTCATTTTAAGGTAATATTATCATCTGGTATCCAAATAAAGATACCAACATTCTCCCTAGAAATACTTCATAATCATATTGCAAGTAAAGATAGCCTCTAATGTGGAATAATGATATTGAAAATAACTGAATTTGAAAAGGGTTAATGTGTTTCAAATATACAATTTCCAATGACAAAAAATTTCACTGCACAGGTCTGATATTGTGATTTTAAAGTGCATTTCCTGTCTCTTAGCTTGTTCAATTTTGGTTATTATCTTTTTATTTCAGGGTTGTTACGTTTGTATTGATGAGTTTAAATGTAAAGTACAGGTTTTGTCCAATCAAGTGGGTGATGGCCAACCACCAATTCATGTTGGTAATCAGAGCTGGCTATAACCTACACTTGGTTATCTTTTAATTATATTATTCTCTCCATCTTGCCTTATCAAAAACCCATGATCCAGCAAAAGATTTTTGGTCATGTTTAAAAAAAATCATGTAGGAAATTTATTTTATACTTTTAATTTAAAATGGACTCTTTTTTTTATCTTACAAACTGCCAAAGTGTGACCAGTACAGATATTTTATAGATCTTAAAAATATAGCTATTAGGGAATGAAATTTCCGCTTTGTTTAAAAATCATGATCAAAGATTACCTTGGTGTAACGTGGTGTATTGAATGGAGGTTTTTTCCTTCTTTTCTTTGTTTTTCTCTTACTTGTTATTATGAATAAAATCTATCATAAAGTTTTCTATATCCTCTCTTGCCCTTTACCAAGATAGGGACTACAGGTAAGCGACAAAGCGAGCAAACATATCGCAAAGCCACAGCAAATTTGGGGATTTAACTGTATGCTGTGCAGTTTTTTACCCTACAAAAAATGATTACTAAACTGGGGGTACACATTATAGACAATGACAAAAAGATTTCACCAGAGGTTCCCAGGCAAAACTGAAGGTCTGCCATTTTGCAATTGATAACTGATGATATGGAAATGTCTTTTAAGGGTAGAATAATATCAAATTTGTGTTTTATCAATGGAAGCCTTTAACAATTGGTAAATATTACAATTCATAAAAAACATTTCAATAACCGTTAAAAAAAAAAAAAATGAAACATGCAACAATTCATAATACGTTATATGAAAAAATATGTTTAACAACATTTGTAATGCAGATAACAAAATAACAATTTTTTAAAAATAAAATTGTGAAAACACTTTTTACAATAATGAAGAATTTTTGCTTAATAAGGCATTAAGATATTTTATCAAGATATGTCCTTTAATTTGGAATGCAAAATTTATCTGATATGGTCTCTTTCAATATAACATGAAAAATTACCAAAAAGAATATATCTATTGACATTTCTTAACATATGAAAATAAAATTTCCTAATTATATGATAGAACATTTCCAAAATAGCAATGAACATTTCTTAAATAACAACAGACATTTCAAGTATTATAACCAAAATTGCCTCCAAAATATAACAAAGAAAATGAATTTAAAAGAAAAAATATAACAACAGATCTGGACCACAGTATTTAATGATAAAAATAATCACATTGCTTTCCACATTATATTCTAAGCTCTTACATTTTGATCCAAACATAGCCTATAGACACACACACATACCTTACTTCTAAACATTCAAATTATAAAAATACATAAAAAATACCTGAGACTTGAGACATTGTTAATATGATTTGATAAGGTCATGAATGGGAATCCTATTCTATAACAGAACTTATAAAACTAACAAAAAAGGACTAGATACAATGATAAGAAAAAAATCTCTCAGATCACACAAACCTTAACTAAAACACATCACATTTAATTTGGATTATCCAAAGTTTTTAATTTTTTAAATGGAGATTTTTCCTCTGTTGTTTGTTTTTTATGTTTTGATATATTGAGTGCAAAATTTAAGTGCACCCTAATTTTGGAAAGTTTCTAAAAAGCCTAAAAGCCTAAATATATTTCTTGATTCAACAAGATAAACACAATTTCTTAATAAATACTGGTTTTTTGGTATAGATAGCGTAATATGCAACAATATTGTACAGTTTTAAAAGAAGGGCTATCTAAGTTGCATTTTTGCTAATCTAGCATAAAAGTTGTTGACATGAGTGCATTTGTCATTCATGTCCCATTTCTCATCGTAAACAATCCATGCAGAAAATTTGTGGCAAATATGAAAGTTTTCAGCCATTTAGTGCAAATACGAAAATTTCCAAAAGATTTCTTAATTAACAATAGATATTTCCTAGGTATTGTAACCACATTTTCTTTCAAAATAGAACAAAAAACATGAATTTTAAAATATATCAATTTTCTTGAATAAATCTTCAGTTGCATGTTTGCTAATCTGGCATAACAGTTTATCACAGTTGTTGACATGGGTGTATTTGTCATTCATGTCCCATTTTGAAAATCTGCAAGAATAAGTTCTCAATGTAACCCATCCATGCAGAGAATGTGTGGCAAATATGAAAGTTTTCAGCCATTTAGTGCAAATATGAAAGTTTCCAAAATAAATAAATAACTGCCTCTAATCTACAGGCTTACAAAATATGCTCTTTCAATGATCTAAATTGTAAATGAGTAAGATCATGATCAAACTTTATGATTTATAAATATAAATTTACATTTCCTTTTTAATACTAAAACCTGTTATAGCAAAAATAACTGGAATGACTTGATGTTTCTCAGTTAGTCTACTAGAATTTAGACATTTAAGCTTATATGATATCAAAAATAAGACATCCTAAAAAAATACAAATTTGTCATCAGGAATGATCAGTTCTTAGAGATTCAAGTAGAATCCTTTAACCCAAATCTGGCATATGAAAATAGACTAGACTTTTATTAACAGACCAGATCAACTTTCATATTTGTCCCAAAATAAATTGTAGTACATAGGGTGGAATAGCAAAGCGACATCACAGAACAATGTTATTTCATATTTTAACAGACATCAATTTTTTTTTCTGTCATTTTTCACTGTTATCTGTTCAATAGGTGCACCGAAATAAAGTTTTCTGGTATTTTTTATAATAACTTGTTCTAAAATTATACAACCAAAATACCAGAATGGTGCATATTCTAGTGTCACAAGGCCCATAAAATCACCATCAAATTGTGTATAATCCCACGGACAGGCATCAAAATATTTCAAAACAAAACCAGTGCTGAATTCCCACATGTAGGCCCATATTGTATAAATTAATGCTCTAATATACACTGGTATAGTGTCTCGTAATTTTAAATATAAATATTCTATCACTAACACTGATAACCCATATATTGGAAATGACCAGATACTTGTAATCCCAGTAAATTTCCAATTCAAATTCACCACAAACTCCCAAATGGCAGTAAATGTAACTTCAGTTACATATCCATGAATAGCATATATGTAAAACCTTTCCAAACCAGTAAGGGGCACAATGTCCATGATCTTGAAGCTTAATTACTCGTGACTTTGATTCTAAAATGTAAAAAAAAAATTTAGAGATCAATCAATGATTATGACAAACTCTGTTTTTGTTGCAGTATTTAATTAATTGACCATGAAATTTATTTTTACTGCTAGTCAAGGCTTAGTGCTCTGCCTCATCAAAAGTGACTGGTCCTTTGCCTTTGTAGGAAAAAACTTCAGGCTAAGGAGACTCCATAATACTTTAGTTAGGCCTATCACTTAACTATGTGATTGTGAAATCCTGATAAAGTAGGTATGCCGTATTAGTAGCCTACACATAAATTAGAAATAGTTAAAGCAGCAAGTGCTCTGTAACTGTAAGCTTAATTAATAAGTAGATCTAATAGAAATGGACCCACAGTCACTTATTTCCATTTTTCTGTAATGGTTAGATTCTTAATCCATGGAGAAATAGAAACAATTGACTGTGGTGAAGAGTAGGCCTACGCTGAAAGTGTGTGACTCACTAAGTTACTGCCTGGTCAGTCAGCACTCAGTCCAGTGTTGTCAGTGGATTTATATCTTTTTGGTCATTAGATCTACTTCTGCTAGTGTTCCTTCACTTTGATGAATACTTCTTACTTCATGATCTGCAAGCAAGGCCTATATTCAAACTCTACATATAACTTACATAATTGCCAGTGTTGTTGATTGATTTATCTCAGCAAAATTTCTTTGTATCGTTACGTACAGAATCAAAATACTGTCGTCTGTTTTGATTTCAAAAGAAGGGACCTAACTCTAAATAAATAATCATTCGAACTCCTTCGTCTTTTAAAATGTTAAACGTTTTATGTTACAAATTTCAAAGAGAGTTGCATGAATATATTCTACATTGTTAAAATTCTTATGAAATTAATAAGTAATATGTGCAATTTTGTCAAATTTCCAATTACTGGATTGAAATATCAACTTTATAATAGCACAAGTCTTTAGTTGATAACAAGTTCAAAATAAATAATATTGAAAAAAAAAACAATTAGGCCTGCTGCATTTAAATTCTGAATGTGCCATCAGGAAATAACAGATTTCATATTATTTGTTATGTAACTAAAGTTATTTTTGTTTCCCAAAATGTAAGATATTCCTTAAAGATAATAAACACATATTTTACTTGAACTGTTTTTTTTTATGAATAACTAGACAATACATTGAAAAAATAATAAATTTCATCTTTATCATAAACAGCGACAACAGTCTGACATTCTGAACACTTCACTGGGTTATATAACTCCTCGTCTTCTTCCGTTCTACTTTCAGTTTCACTTCCTTTCTTTTTCTTTCGCTTCTTCTTTTTACCCTGTTCTTTAGGATATTTCAAAGTTTCTGAATAGTTTATATCACAATTAGTAACAAACATGGCTCTGTATTGATTCGCATAGGTATCATGTCTGTAAAAAATAAAAAGAAACTTAAAAATTCTATAACAATAAATAACTCAAAGATGGCAGCATCTAAAACTGCCAAGAATACATGTGATGCTACTGTATTAATCAGAAAAGAGAGACCATGGTCTATTTTTTAAGCTGGACGCTTCCAGCCAAGCATAGAATTAGATACCGGTACCTTAGTTACATTAGAAGTACTAATTACTAAAGATTACTAAAAAACAAACTGATAGCCTATAATCTATTTAAAAGTCAGCCCAGGTTGACTGGGGTTTCAAATCTTCAATCTCGCTGGAACCCTCACAGTAAACATGAGTGAAATGCTCATATTCAAAATTGATGAACCACAGCAACTGTGATCAAGTAGATGTTTGCAGATCCAATTATTTTTAATTTAGCTCACCTTTGACAATCTCTACATAATGTAGTCATACAAGCAGGACAATTTAATATAGCATCAGTTTTAGGTAGTTTAGTTTTATTATTAGAAGATTTAGGCTGATATTCTTTGCGTTGTTTATCAACCCATTTCTGATCCTCATCATCCATATCTGGGTCATATAATAAATCATCATTTGATACTACAGGATGTGAACTCTTCTTGGCCTTGGAGCTGGTACCTTCTGAAATAATCATTGAATTTTGAACATTTTAGATCAAAATATCAAACATTTTAGATCAAAATATCAAACATTTTTCATCATATTATTGAACATTTTTCATAAAAATATCAAACATTTTTCATAAAAATATCAAACATTTTTCATAAAATATATAAAGTATTTTTCATAAATATACAAAGCATTTTTCATAAGAAATATCAAGCATTTTCATAAAAAACTCCAAGCATTCTAAATAAAAATATCACACATTTTAGATAAAAATATCAAGCAATTTACATAAAAATATCAAACATTTTCATAAAAAATATCAAACATTTTCATAAAAAAATATCAAGCATTTTATATCAATCATTTTATTTCAAATATTGAATAGTAAGGGATTATCTAAATACAAGCAATATGGAATAACTCAGTAGGTAGTGAGTTGGATTGTCGTCTGTTAGGTAATTAGGTGCTGTGGATTCGAATCTTCCTCAAGGTAATAAAAACAATCCTTATGCCACACCAAGCGCTTCTGAAAATTTTGCTCGGTGTTGACTCGGAGCTCCCAATACAAAGGAAATATAAACATTATACTATACAAACCCTTTTCTTCGTCCTCATCTGAATCAAAATAAATATCATCATAGAACTGTTGTATATCTGATTTATTACTACTTTCATTTTCTTTAGATTGCTCTCCTGATTTCTGGCTTTCATCTATAAAATCAACATAAACAATTAGCAAAAATTGTTAGGACAGCATGGAAGCTGGATAGATAAAGACAAGTCAACTGTGCTCAAAACTAAATAAATCAAAACCATAGAAGCCAGTGGAACCAGTGCCCATTTTCAATTCATGCACTTTGAACCGATAAGTTTCCATTGAAATGTGGAGCAACCAAATGTCAAATTTATATTCTGAAAAGTGACACAGAAAGCTGAAATTTAGCTTTATTGACTGGTTCAGAAAAAATCTAGATGACTATTTTAAATAATTTGTAAAATTGCTCTAGAATATTCTCAAAAGTATAAATCCTTTAAATTTCTTTACCACACTATATACGTACCCTCATTTGAAGATAATCTTTTATTTTCCAAAGCTTCGATAGTCTCTTGCAATTCTTTATTCATTTCTGCCTCAAAATCATCCTCACTTGATGAATTTGATCTTTTATTTTGAGTCTTTTTGTACAGTTTTCTTTTCTGTTCTGGCGTACCATGTAAGATAATGTCAATTTCATCTTCTGAGCTGTAAATAAAGATATCAACATTACATTAATGATTGCAGAAGCATCAGAAAGGACAAAATAGTCACTTCAAGTGTTCACTGTTCTAAAAAGCTCAGTTGAGGAGAAGTATGTCGGGAAAAACCCACAAATAGCCATGGAGAGTAAAGTTAAACACTTTGAGTTTTGTTTTCATAAAATATTGTATTTTATTTTATTTGTGAAGCAGATTTGGCCTAATACTTTAGACATTACTAATAAACGTGCCTTTCAGCGCTAACATCCTCGTCGCTGTAATCTTCTCCAAAATCTGGATCCAAAGTTTTAAACAGGTCCATCTTTTGACTTGTATCTGCAATTAATCGTCTAAGTACGTTGTTTACAGTTTTTGTATGGAGGCTGACATCTTGGTAAGGGGAATAACTCTGAAGATATATTTCATTCGGACAACCGAGTAATTAGTTTTCAATCTCCACTAGGACTGAGTAAAATTTAAACTGATTGAAAACCGATTGGTGATAATAATTAGTCAATAATTAGTCTATTAAATCAGTCGGCACACTTAGGTCTTAGGAGTCACATTTTATTAGGAACTACTCGTATTTAAGTGAAAAAAAATCAACCATTTTGTCCCCAAAAAAAATTTTAAAAAGAGAGATTTTCATCAAACGCTTTCATTTTAATTTATTTACAGGTTTTTGAAATACTAGTTCGTGATATATTAGACAAAATGTGCTCTTGATGACCTCTGTTATGCGCGAGAGTCACAAATAAACCATAATTAGCGCTTGGGTCTTAATTAGGTCTAGTGTAGCCTGGATCATCTCGACCGAAATTTTCCAAAAGTAGATGTGTTTCCCTATTTTAAATAAGAATGTATTTCTTGGCATATTGGCTTGTAGGCCTACTTTAATATTTCCGCCCCACCCCCAACAGGATACCTCTTTTAGGCAAGGCTACGCTTAAAATCTTAAAAAGCCTACACCAACTATTTTAATTAAAAACAATGCCAAGTCAAAACCGATTCTAAGCTCCAATGAAGTCCTAGGTCTATTTTCTACAGAAGGCTTGACTGAAGATATATTTTGAAATAAGGGTAAACTTGGGACTTAGTTCAATTCCATCATTGACAGCTATTGAAAACGCGGAGTTTCACACACGAAGTATCACTCTTATTGTGGATTATGTCCCCTTGACCGTGAACCCATTGAAAGTGCAACAATTTTGGATAAAGGTCTGCAATGAATAGTTAATAACGTGAATATTCAGAGACATTTTCGTATATTTTGATATTTCTACAAAATGTCTAGCGAATGGAAAATTAACAAATCGGTCTTTTTTGACTTTGATATTACAAGTACCGTTGCAAATGGAACACGAAACAGACCAAGCCCTATATATTTTTTTCAATTCCAAGTAATTATAAGCCTACTCTCCGTCCACAGTTAGCATAAGAACGACATTTTTTCTGTCATTGTACAAAATTTTAATGATATATAATATTTAAATATTTTTTTGCATATGCCATTTGTTTAAGAATGACGTGGGTCCATAGAAATATATGATTTTACATTTGAAATTATATTAGATTCGTTTTCACGTGAAAATTACTATTTAGGACTGCAAATTCACTCCTCTGTAAAATCATATTTTCAAACATTAATTTTTTCATTTGTTTGCATTTTAATCATCCCAAAGAAACTTTAAGACTCTACGTAATAATTTGGAGTGGATTTTTCAATTCATACAAAAATGATTGATAAAATGCAATTTTGTTAACATTTTGATCCAACACTATTTAATTATGAATATTATTTTGAAACTTACAAACTACCGCAATCACAAAGTATTCTCCCATTACAAAAGGTAGACATCCCAAAAGTGAGGGATTCACTGAAATGATCTGAAAGACGAGAATGCAAAGACACTAAGATAAATAAATAAATAAATTAATTAATTGATATAGTGCCAATAAGGAATATTTTTTTATTTGGACATAAATGAGAAGGCGAAAAAATTATGGGTGTCTCCCATCCAAAAATTTATTTCAGCAAAATTCGGATAACGAAGGGATATAGGCGTAGTCTGTCAGACTTTTGAAATTCTAATCTTCTTAGGAACGGTTGCATCACAATTGTTAGAACTATGATAGAATCTTTAGATGTGACAAGTGAAGGCTATCGGTATATTACTGTATGGAAATAGAAGGAATCATGAAATAAATTCCACTTGGGAACCAGATCAGGTCGGTAACAACTTCGACCTTACACGCCATTCCACCATTCATATTCACTTGAGAAGTAAAGCTCGAGCTCAAAGACGTCAAAATTTGACAGATATCATAAAGGACCTTTTGTGTGCGATTTTCCCTTTTTAAAGTTTCTTGGCGTGACGCGCATACAGAAGAAATTGTTATTAGCACATGTTTAATTGTACTTGATAGGGGTGAACTTATTGACATTTCCTATGAATAATTCTAAGACAGACCATATTGAGACCATATTGCTGGAACGTTCCTTCGTATACCATCATTAGAAACGAAATTGTAATGAGACGTATGCTTCACCTTAGGGCACCAATCTGGAATTTTGACCTTCTGAGGAATTTCAATTAATTTCTGCTTCTTTATGAGTTCAAAAGATCAAAGTAGGTGAAGGAGTGAAATGCACATGCACGTGTGTATATAAATCGTCATGTTTATTGAGTAATTGTTTGTAATTACTAAATGAATATTTGATAGTTTGTGCATTAGTCTTGCAGTCAAAAATAAGAATTCAAATGTTCGAACGCACGATCGCATATTTTATTCCATTATGTTAGGAGCATTTTGGGGAAATTCTATTGAATTTGAGAGCAATGATAGGGAATTAATATATTTAGAGATTCTATTCGATCTAGAGAAGCGAAATTTGACAGAAAAGAAGTTTGCACCCCAAGTCATGATAGTTTTGCTTTATAGGAACGAAATTCTAAGGAAGCGTCCTTCTTAAAGCATTTACTTAAATCTGACTTCAAAATTACAAAATACTACATAGAAACTCTATAACTAAATAAGTCGACTTAAACCTCTCAAGTCAAGTCAATCGACTCAGTAACTTCAAAATCGACCAAAAAATCGACTAAGTATCTCGAAAACCCGACATAGTAACTCAATGTCGACTCTGAAACTCAAACATCCGAGGACAAGTCGACATAGACATTAGAATCCGACTAAGTGACTGAAAGGATCGACTAGGTGACTAAAATATTCGACTTAAAAACTAAAAAATCCGACATAGTAACTCAACTTTACTTAGCTACTCGAAAAGCAACTAAGCAAAACTGTTTTCTGGCTAATCATAGATATAAATTTCCTTTATATTGTAGAGTCCAGGACCTACGTTAGTAAAAAATAAGTGAAAATCTCGCCAAAATAGAATGTGATATAGTTAATTATGAAATAACATGGATAATAAGATATATTGTAGAGGCCAGAAACAATTGTTACAACTTTCTTACAGACAAAACACGTCGCTAACAAGTTTTCTAGGCGCCACGTCTCAAACTTTACCAGATATTCTGATATTGATACAGCCCGCTACAGACTCCATTTTCATGTTTCATTGTTAACAAGCGTAACATAAACCCATTGCCGAAAAGATGGCTAAATGAATTTAATTTGTAGAAAAATTCAACAGGAAAGAAGAAATGCCAAAAAATAATGAGAAATTCAGCCATGCGTAGAAAAATAGAAATCTTATCCGCGAATGAAGAATGGGTTTAGAGAAGATGTTATCGTAGAAATATCAACAGAAAATTGTCAAAATATAAAATTATAAGCTAAATATACACTTTGATAAGTTTTTAGGGCAAGGGTTGCCAAAATCTGCCCTTGTCCTGTTGTAAAAATGGCTCCAAATTTTAATGATTCCAATTGAATCATATACTGCGAAGAATTTGTTTATTCTGAAAATGGTACTCATAATCTATAAGAAAGGCTCCAATAAGAGTAAAAAACTGAGTAAAAAACGTTAGTGATATTACAAAGATTCACTGTGAGTAATAAAAAGTAGTGATGTTTAGAGTTGATCACTGTGAGTTATAGTTTATTGCTGGGGTTTATAATTAACTAGATTTACTATGGGTAATGGAGAATGATATTGATTAGAGCGGTTCACTGTGAGTAATAGACAGTGATGTTTATAGTTTATTAAGAGAGCTTCACTGTGAATAATAGACAGTGATGTTTATAGTTTATTAGAGATTGTGAATAATAGACAGTGATGTTTATAGTTTATTAGAGCGGTTCACTGTGAGTAATAGACAGTGATGTTTATAGTTTATTAGAGATGTTTACTGTGAGTAATAGACAGTGATGTTTATAGTTTATTAAAGATTGTGAATAATAGACAGTGATGTTTAAAGTTTATTAGAGATGTTTACTGTGAATAATAGACAGTGATGTTTATAATTTATTAAAAAAGTTTACTGTGAGTAATAGACAGTGATGTTTATAGTTTATTAGAGATGTTTACTGTGAGTAATAGACAGTGATGTTTATAGTTTACTAGAGATGTTTACTGTGAGTAATAGACAGTGATGTTTATAGTTTATTAGAGATGTTTACTGTGAATAATAGACAGTGATGTTTATAATTATTAAAAAAGTTTACTGTGAGTAATAGACAGTGATGTTTATAATTTATTAAAGATGTTTACTGTGAATAATAGACAGTGATGTTTATAATTTATTAAAAAAGTTTACTGTGAGTAATAGACAGTGATGTTTATTATTTATTAAAGATGTTTACTGTGAATAATAGACAGTGATGTTTATAATTTATTAGAGATGTTTACTGTGAATATTAGACAGTGATGTTTATAGTTTATTAGAGATGTTTACTGTGAATAATAGACAGTGATGTTTATAATTTATTAGAGATGTTTACTGTGAATATTAGACAGTGATGTTTATAGTTTATTAGAGATGTTTACTGTGAATATTAGACAGTGATGTTTATTAGAGATGTTTACTGTGAGTAATAGACAGTGATGTTTATAGTTTATTAGGGATTTGCTGTGAGTAATAGACGGTGATGTTTATAATTTATTAAAAAAGCTTACTGTGAATAATAGACAGTCATGTTTAAAGTTTATTAGAGATGTTTACTGTGAATAATAGACAGTGATGTTTATAATTTATTAAAAAAAGTTTACTGTAAGTAATAGATAGTGATGTTTATAGTTTATTAGAGATTGTGAATAATAGACAGTGATGTTTATAGTTTATTAGAGATTTACTGTTAGCAATAGACAGTGGTGTTTATAGTATATTAGAGAAGTGCACTATGTGATAAAGATAATGCAGGGATTTTCGGGGTTCGATGATTCCATTGATTGTGCCATTTTTCGGTTGGCTATATATCTGAAGGCTATTAACTTGTAAATCCAAGATGTTCTGTGAAAAGCAAAATTTCAAACTTTTAAGAATGCAGATGAGTAGTTAGAGATGAATATGTACGACAGTAACAAATTTTTACACATTGTGTGTTGGGAGGTCCACAAATGACCTTATGAAATTGGGGATGTTGTTTAAAAGAATGCACAATAAAATAAGTATTAATTGTTTTCTTTATTCACTGAACATTTCTGTTACAGAAACTGACAGAAATCTGTCAATCATCTCTAATCTCCACAACCACCTGTTCTTCAAATATTCAAATACAAAAAACTTAATATACATATTTACTACAGAAAATGGTGGAGAACACCTTTAGTAACATAGTTGCCCATGGAGGTGTGTCTTGTCACTGAATCACATACTATGTATTGTATACAGCATACAGGTAATTGTAACTGTAAAATTAGACTAATTTGTAGATCAAAGTTTCAATTTTCTAGGTTTAATTGATGCACAAAAATGCCCCAATTTTTCTATCAAATAACAATGAACAATATAATAACAAAATTAATGTCTAGACTTTTTAACTTTAAAATTGACATTAGTTTCATTTTCAAAATGCATGTTAAGATTTGTGAATATGAACCTAAAAAATAAATGACTTTAATACAAAATGTGACAAAATTATTTTTCAAAAACTTTTAGACAAAGTCAATTTTTTTTATCCTTAGAATTGAATTCCATAGTAATTGGAATAATGATTTCAATAATAGGTTTCATATGTGATATGTTGGGATAAATTTCAAAGAGTTATCTCCCATTTATTGAGATTTTGACATTTTTTTTTTTGTTGAAAAATAAATAAATATCACAATAATAAACATCAATAATTCTCGTTTTAGTTGGAGGTGCATAATAAATCATCTCATTTATTCTTCAGCAGACACAAATCTTACGCCATTTACTTCATTAAACAATTTGCCTACAAACTAGAGACAATTCTTTTGGGCATAGGCAGATTAGTAATGGGTATTCATACTGAAATGTTTGGCAAGATGTAAAATTTTGTCATTCTTAATATCAATTTTACATGATGCCAAATTCTTAAATATCAAATTTATGTCTTTAGCCATTTAGTGAAATCAAAATGCTTATTTACACAAAACCTTGTCAAAAATCAACGCGGAAGGAAACTCTAATTAAACCTTTTGTAACTAGGAAAACTATGATCCAAAACTCTCTTGAAGCAAGGTATTTAAATGTAATAAGATGTGCCATAGATTGACAAAGTAATCAGCAAGGTTTTGTGTTTTTAAGCTTCAAATGCAACAAAATTCAAGCCAAAATAGGATATTGACTATATTTCTAAATTAATGAAGACCTTCATGGGAAACAGAAAAAATTCTCCTTGATTTTAGTGAAATCAGTTGTCACCCCTCAAATTTCAGGCAAAAAGAGTACATTCCCTTTCATTTTTCCTTCAATTCAAATTACAGTATAAAGAAAGCACATCACACAAAATGAAAACTAAAGCTTTTTTATTATTGACTTTTTACATTTCCTTTGGTCATAATATTGCCTATATGGGCAGTGTTATTTCACTTTGATAACAAAAGAATTAAATAATTTAATAAAACTTTTGATATCTAGTTTGTCTTGTATACAATATTATACAGTTTTGGTTATATCTGGAATAGACTTACACATAGTGCAAAAAAAAATCTATAAACTAATTTAAAATTCCAAAATACTTTTTAAAAACTTCACTAGTAATCTTAAGATTTTTTCCCACAATTCAGTAGGAATATTTTTTCATTAATTCATATTCATAGAACTAAATTTTATCAACAAGTCTTTTTTCCAGATACAACCAAAACCACACATTGAACCATTAAAATAAATTAGTATGGAATGCATTTACACTTAGTTTCTATAACACAGCATTTTAATATTAAAAGCAAATTCAAAAATTCAATGAGGTATTTGTCTTAATAAAGCTTCATTCATATTAATCTTTGTACGAATCGTAAATGGCTAAACATACATAATTTGGCTAAGATTTTTTTTTTTGTTCCAAATTGGTAAAATTTTTCTTTAAATGAAAACATATACACCTATGAAAATAAAATAACACAGTATTTTCAGAATATGTACATCTGTTTACAAAACAGTCAAAATATGAGAGCTACCACGCCCGCCATGGACTTGTATTGTAGACACAGCAAGTTATACATCTTATAATTATTATTATTATTTATATATTTACAGTTCACCACTCACTGTGACCACATACAGTTTCTATATAAAGTCATTTTCACCAGGTTCAAAACAAACACACAAGTTATTTAGTAGGTCATGTGACTAGTTCCTGGTCTATAATATATTAATATATTTATAACATAAAAACGGTCAAAACAACCATTTTCAAAAAAGTCTTTGGCTTAAAGGAATTTCATTCCTCACAATTTAACTACACTCTCACTATATAGCACATATCCAACCTTCACCTTCAAATTAGTCCTTCCCCTTGACCGCAATTCTTGAATGACCTTCACCTTTAATTCTTGGTTTCCTAGCAACACAATACTTCTATGGCTGGAATATATGTCAATGGCCACTCAATATTTTTTTTTAGTATTTGTCACTGTAGATACTGTTCTTCTTCTGAAAACACTCTAAATGGACTGAACAAGTGACAAAGATTTTTCACAGTGGCTACGTAATAAATTGCTACTAATTTAACAATAACTAGTCCTGTAGAAAATAAGTCTAGCCAGCGTGGATGTCTTGTATATGACCACCCATTCCGTCCATGCCTGCGTGTAAAGGTGGACTGGTTGCTGCAGACATGCCATGATGTCCCATACCAGCGGTTGGATGACCCATCATCATGTGATGGGGATGACCAGGAATTAACATAGCTTGTGAATGTACTGGAGGACTAAACTGTGACATATTTCCATAAGAACTACTAGGGGGTCCACCATACATGTCACTCCTGTGCATGCCCTGTACACCCAACATATGATCGTATCTTTGGGAACCGTCTGTCAAATGAGAATAACCAGCTTTCATTGGATCATACATATCAGCGCCATGGATACCACCTAATCCTGAAAAATAAAAAGAACAGAAATGTAAATTTCAGTTTTATTTTGCAACAGAGAGTCCAAACTAGTCAAAATATTACAAAAATTGTCTTCCAAATTCTAAATCTTAAATTCTTATATATTTACTACAGCCAAAACTGCCAAAATTACAACGACATTAAAGAAATTATAAACTAAATACATACCCATTTGCATGTGAGTGTTGTCCATATAACCCATACCAGAGCCATCAGGGCTGTAAGGAGCATGAGATCCAGGTCCTAAAATAAAAGAAAGATGGAATTAAACAACAATTGCAAAAGGTTCTAAATTACAAAAATTATCAGTCTAGCCAACTGAAAAAATCCTTCAAATATAAATGAGCAAAACAATAAGTTGAATATAAAAGAAAATATTATCATTATTTTGAATGGAGTTTAAGCAGTTCGAACAATATATAATTAATATTCTTCATCCTGAATACAGCTTAATTTGATATTTTTAAAAACTTATGATTATAAGGTACTTAAGAACACTTGAATACAAGTACTTAGCATTATATGATTAATTTTCCAAGATAAAAAATAACAAAAATTATTGATTTTCTGATATGAAAGAATAGAATTTTTTTCAAGAATAGCTGACAATCCAATCAAGACGACTTAGGTCAATAGTTGCATAGAAATTAACCAATCAGATGGGAGAAGATGTTTATGTGCATGACTGCTGATCTATGACTTGTTCTCGTGACAACAATCAATGGCACTAACATGTGACTCAAGTCACAGAGAAAGTTAGCCAAACGTAAACTAGCCAATTGAATCAAATCTACATGAATAAAAGATAGGAAAGAATAGTAGTTCATTTCTCTCTAGTTCCACCTTTTATGTTTATTTAGGACAATTCTCTAAAGAAATGTGACTATTTTGACATATGGATATCGCAATTTGAATAATGACAATGAACTCATAAAAAACAACTGAGGTTAATTTCTTTTATATTCAAGTCTTAAGAGTTTTCATTTAAAGAAGGATTTTGGTTGTTAAAAAACCATTACAACTCATGAACCATACGTTATAATGCTCAAATAAAAATCAAATTTTATTGTTTTCCGTTTTCAAATGAGAAAAATCTGTTACAGTCTTTCGAAAGTTAACATGATTTATGAATTTCTATAAAAACTACAAAATCTAAAACTACTGATAAAAAATAGATAAAATGTAGGGTAAAAACCAAAGAGAGAGTGAAGAAAGGATAAATAAAGGGAAGGATCATGCAGGATATAAAAGAAGGAATAAAAAAGAATATAAACTAAAAATTTTGAGGAGTGCAGGAAAAGCTGCAGAAAAAAACAAAAATCATGCTATAAAAAGAGGTAAAAAAAAAATAGAAACATGCAGGAATTTAGCTTTTCAGAATTGTAAGTCATCCTTTGCGATGTGACCTTCACTTGATGTCAAGGCCATTGATCACATGGTCTCTTTCCCTCTCTCCAGTTGGTTGTTTTCCAGTGTCATGTGACTCTAATGTTACCTGGTGAGAGACCGAGGGTATCGGCAGATGACGACTTACGCCTCCTATTTTTGAAGACCGTAACGAGTTGTGACTTGCCTGCTCTATTAGATTGATCTATCATGGGTTGAACTATTCTTCTTCTGGCATTGATAAACCTGAAAAATACAAAATAATCCTTGATTAGTACAGAATTTACAAAATGTATTATATAAAGATATTAATTTTTATTTTATGTGTTTAATATGAAATGCAAATATTGAGTTAGGGTGATTTTTGCAGAATGCAAAATTTGTATTTGGCAATGTACAATTAAAAAATATTGTAATTGGTTGTAAAATGCAAAATGTGTGTGATACTGTGATTATTAATAATGTGAGTGATTTCAGTTTTTGAAGATTTACAGAATCTATGATAGAAATCCTACTATGGAATGAAAAGATTTAAGCGAGTTTGAAGAAACATTTTCAATCAGAATGAATTTGGACGTGTCATTTAAAAAGCAATTTAGAAATAAAATATGATGAATAAATAGGGTTGTTTGGAGTGTACTAGTATCTCTAGGGACTACGATATAATATTGAAACTTGAAGTTACAGGGAGAAATTAAGTCTATAATAAATTGGAAGATTGTACATTCTATATACTCATCCATCATCTTCAACATATCATATAACATCGAATATTGGCCCAATTAACAAATTAATTAACTTTGCAACATTCTAATTAATCCACAAGATGTTCTGAGTCAAGTTTGAAGCCAGAAAAAACGTAATAAATTTTTTGACTCATTCGCTAAATGTAAAGATTTGTGATCACCAAAAAATTGTCACACGAAAACAGAATTTTTATAATAACAGAAAAACTTTGATGTTTAGACACATTTCATGGCATCTAGTTCCACAAGAATAACAAACAAAATTCATTCTAAAATTTTGCAACCATTACCATAGTTTTTGAAATTGAAATAAAGGAAAGTTTTTCTTGCTGAAAATTAGGAAGCAATTAGAATTGTGAGAATATTTGTTGATATGTCAGAATTGAGAATGAGACGTGATTCATTACTAGAAACACATTAAAGGCGCCAGTCTGGATGCGATTCTTCCCTCTACAATTTGTGTCAGGTTAAAATAAGGTGACTAAATCTCATTAGAAGACTGGAATTCTGACCTCTGTGACCCCATTTACCAGTCAAATTACCCCCAAAATTACATCATTAGTTTTAACTTCACGAATTTATGATGAGGTAAAATGAGGAAGAAAATTGAGATTTTCCACTCAGTTTGAAAGTTTGGCTTCGAAAACTCTGTTATAATGACTGTCTTATTTGCCTAGGAATGGTACATAAAGAAACACACAAATGGTCCAATAAATATCTAGAACCTAACCCCCAATTTCACCTTTCGCAAATTTTATGCCGCAATTTTCAATTTCATGCACAATAATGTTGATATTATGATTATATTATAATTGAAGCCTAATTGAAAGACATAAAAATGAAATAAAAATATAAATGTCATTTTATTGTAAACTAAGTACTTTTATATGATAAGCCTATTAACTTTCTAATCTATTATCAAAAACAATCACATTTTCAAAAGGAAGTGAATACAATTGTTGGGTAATATCTAATCAAATCATATTGCACAATATCAAGTTTATGCTTTAATGACTTTGATGTTCTATTCAGTTAAAGGCATTGTATGCAGTAAACATCTGAAAAAATCCTGATAAAAGTACACGCACTAAGAACTTTAGTAATAATTTATTTATTTAACAGCACGATAATTCAATTTTAAAGACATTGTATGCAATAATGAACTGAAATAATTCCTTGGTGAGATTTCAGTTTTAAAGTCACTGTATGCAATAATGGTCTGAATAATCAATCTATTCCATTTACAGCAAATATTGGCATCTATTAAAAGACAAAATTCCAATTTTCCTGGCATTTAAAGATGCAGCTTGCAGGAATTATAGCACCAGAATAATGAGATATAGAGAATGTAAATGATATGTAGTAAAATTCTGGTCAGTGTTGAAAGATGCCACTTGAATTATTTTACCATCTTTTAAACTCATTAGAATATATCTAGAATTATTTCTCTCATTGATGGAATTCTGATTCCCTTTCATTAGTAACCTGATTCAGGTATTGATGATTTTGACATGTGTAGGGCAATACCTGCAATGTTTTTAAATTTTTCGTTTTGGCAAGGGAAGATACACAAAAGGAACACTTCCCATGTACATGTCATACATACATACATAATAGTGATATACACAATATTTGACTGATATACAATTGAAAGCATTGGTATACAATTTTGACCACTGTGTTATACAATTGAAACCATTCATATACAGTTTTGCCTACTGATATACAATTTGAATGCATACATATACAATTGTATCCTATTGTTATAAAATTTAGCCATTGCTATGCAATAAGAAAACAATCTAACCACTGACTTGAAGAATTTAGTCATTACTTTACATTTTGAATACAATTTGACCATTGATATACAATTTGACCATTGATTAGAATTGTATATTGAGTTATTAATTAAGTTTGTATAATAAGGGATAATGAAGCAGTGTGTTTGGAGATATACAGAAGATCAGAAGTTAATAATAGTAGTAGAAATTTAATGGTCATCTCTCCCAGGAATACTCTTACTATTAGATCAACTCTCTAAATGATCCTGGTCGTTAATTAAAACTAGGAGACTTAAGATACTTGCATTAATTAGTGGAAATGATTTAATTAGGTACATTTCTACCCATTTCATTCCCTTTCTTTTGTTTGTTGGATACAATTGAGGTCTTAAGAGTCCATCTCATTATATATCAGTACAAGCAAATATTCCTCAATAAGAAGTGAGAGCCAAGGATAAAATTTTTATGGTGGAAAAAGGCCAAAAATTGAATATATTTAGTTTCAATTTTCAAGCTCTGAAATTTATAAAACCAAAATGACAAAATTAGGTTTATATGAATAGAGGTTTTGGATCAATTTGAAATGTAGTGGAATGGTAAAAACCAGATAAATGAATGAATTCCGCAAGGTGTCTAAATTACGCTATATCACCAGCCTTCTAATACATTACATCTATATACTATACAACTTAACTATATTAACTCATAGAACGCCTCATTAATAAATTGCAGGTACTTGGTCAATAGGATATTCATTAATGACAATAACAGCATGGTAGGGGTATCGTCTTACACGCCTAATCCCTTAAACCATATAACCATACAGAAATATGATCGTTTTTACCTAATGAAATATTAAATTATTACATTAAGAACAATATGGAGTCCCATTACTGATCTTTAGAGGATTTTTTAATGAAATGAATTTGGTAAAAAGGTTATAAAAAATTCAAATCTTTTATTAACACCTTTTAAATGTCTTGGTCACGCCATAAGAGAATGATGCTTGATGGGATATCAATTTTCAGTTCTGCTCTGAATTAAAAAGATTCAGATGTGAAACCAGCTTGTTCTTGAAATGTGTTGAAAAAGCACCAGGACTGCCCTTTGTCTGTAACCAATATTTGAGAAGTATCTCCCATTTCTTCCAGAAATGAAAACATCTTGGACTAAGACGAAAAAATAAATTGAATGATAGAAGTCTATGAGGATTAGTTTTAATCCATTAGAGAAGACATGTTCTTGCCATTGCTAAGTTTTATATACTAGGCTTACAAACTCATTATACATTCTTACAAAGACATTAGAAAAGCTTACATGGCTTGTTTTTTATGAATACTCTAGAGAAATATTTTCACTCAATTTTTTTTTCATTACTGTGCTACGGTTTTCTGATTTTTCTTTATCATGGCTGTTCTTTCAATGCAAAATTTAGTTATCATAAATGAAATTTCAGCTATGTAAGAAATTTAACAATATGGTAGTTGAAATGGAAATTAAAGAAGAGGAACTGTATCAGCTATCTGTCCGTCTGCCCAAGTGGAGAAAATGACATTCAGAGATGATAAAAGCGTAATACCATGATTATAAGACTTTAGATAACACGGGTGATAATCCTCAAAGATCGTATGCAATACTTCTCATCAGGAGAAAATGGCTACCAGTGATATCCATAATGATTGTTTCATACTTTCACTTTCCTATCAGAGTTCCATTAACGAGCAATTTTGGCGCGAATGCCAATAATGCTCATCGTGCCATCAGATATAGTCATAAGTTCTTGCCGTTTGTCTTGTAGCAATCATCTCAAAATAATCTAGTGGAGAAATTATTACATTCCTCGGGGAGACGTGAGAACCATTTTGTCAGTTTATCAACAGTCATATACACAAAGTTAGTGAAGAGAAGAAATACTGAGACTCAACTACATTCTTCAACCTTATCGCTAGACACGACTGGTGCTCATTTCGGGTAATGGGGAAATTGTAATTATTTGGCCCCGCATAATGAGAGAGGATATTTAATGGCCACCAGGTGTCTCTCTTGTGCTGACACCAGCCACATGACTCGTTACAGTTTTAATCTAAATCTAATCAGTGCTACCCTCGTATTACTAGCTCACTATGAGATCACTGTATTCCAACTTTTCTTGTTTCCCGTTATAATTTGCACATAATTTTTGAGCAGATAATCAGAAATATTTTTTTGTAGTTCCAGTGGTGAAAGTTTATCAGAGAATCTTAATTTAATAACAGAATATCTAATTTGATTTTATGTTTTAAAAAACAATTGCTGCAGAAAATATAAAGGTCTCTGCAGGGGGAGGACAATTTCGCAGCAGACGACACTATTGCGATGTGATTGATTGGAATCTTGCTATCATTTTCTATCACATGACCAGTATCTGAGTGTTATGTAAAATTGATACTAAAACATAAATCTCAGGTTACCCAACCCAATTTACATTTTCATTAAAACTTAATTTTCCTGCAGGCCAACTTGTAAAATACACCAGAATATAGGAAAAACAATCCATTTAAAGTGAACGCTTCACCTCATTTCTTCACTCAAACTATTACTTTCCACCATTTTTTCTTTCTCTTTTGACGTGTACAGGAAGGAAGTGGGACTCAACCTCTCTTTATTTTGAATTATTGTTCGTATTCAGTTTTCAATGCAGGAAATTAAGAGTTTTTACTTTCCAGAGTTGCGTTCGTGT